TAATAAATATACGCATATTTCTCTGATTCACATCAGATATTCTCGATGTCGCATATTTTTCCGAATTTGTCAAAGACTGGCCGATTTAAACATTTTACAAAGAGAACGGAGGTAGACTATAAAAAAACGGATCACGTCATATCCGTGGTTCTATGACACACCCACGGAAACGACCGGCATTGTTTTCGACAAAATGTTCGTTTCTGAATAATTCGCTGTACCGTACGATGTTAATCGCATGCGCAGTCTAGAATGCGGAACTCTGCTTAAATCATAATCGCAATTAAATATGATAGATTACTTTCTACGATATAATAATTATAGACTCATGTTGTATCCACCATAAAAAAATTGAAAAAAATAATTTGCGCAACTTATTTGCATTATATATTTAATGTCTAAATTTATTAAGTTTAAATTAATTATTTTATGATATGTAAATATTTATACTCTACCATTATTTTTAAATCTTATTATAACTATTATATATATTTATACATATATACTACTTATATCAATTTATATATAATTAATATATCTAACTCTGATTAATCTAAAAATTTTATGAAATTTTTTGCAATTTTTATTTGATTTATATATCATAATTATTTTCTTAAACTTTTTTTTTTTTAAATAAAGTATATATGATGTATATAATTTGATTTTAAATTTGGACTAATTTTTTATAATAGAACATTTATTTCTTTTGCAGCCTTATCAATTTCGTGAATACGAAAAATATTTGCGATTAGAGAACTTGAAGTGGGAACCACCAGGAACTTGTTATGGAGAATATCATAATAAAAAATCGATGTTTATGGTTTGATGTTGTTACTTTGGGAAATGTGCACAGGTAAATGTATATTATTATCTTTTTACTTATAAAAAATAATTATCTCTATATTTTAATTAATCTTTATATTTTTTTAGAATAAACTAATAAAGTTGCAATTATTGTGTATCACAAAGAAACTTATGTCATAAAAAATTTATTTAATAGTACTTTATTTAATAGTATTTAATAATAATTGTTTCCACTTTACATTTTGGCTGTTCCATAGGATGTGTACCACGAAGCGGATATAATCAAAATGTAGAACGACATTATATGATTCGCAAACGCGATGTTATCGTGAGTTTGCAGAATGTTCCACCGATTCTCCATGATTTATTAGAAACTGGATTACACCCAGATGAGACGAAAATGACATTGGACATGGATAAAATAGGAAGAAGACTTCATAGAACTGCTAGTAAATTTTTACATGTTCAACATAATTTTTTTAAAATTCGCGCAACTTTTATATAGTAATAATGTAATCTGCATTTGTTTTCATGATTGTTTTAATGTTTTCAGATGATACACGAAGAAGAAGAGAAGGATAGCACATGTATGAGTAAATGCGGAAACAACAATAATGATCTTTTATATAATGATAAAATGCATTATATAAAAAGTCTTTCTCTGTGTCATCTTTACAAGATAAGGCGTTGATCAGAAAACCAATTGCCAAATCATCGCATTGCCCCATGATAGAGAAAACATCTTCTTCTAAACAATTTCTCAAGTTTAAGAAAAACAATACAATGAAGATTTAGATTTTAAAAATAATGTCGAAGAAGTAGATGCATCTGTGACCAATGATAGTATTGTGAGCTCTATAATTAATAATGTAAAAGCGACCATTCCTTGCACACGTTGTGCAGAAATTTCGGATATGATGTACGACATGGACGAGGTAAACGAGGCACGAGCTAATATAAAACGTTTAAAAGAACTAATAGCAAGTAAAAGAGAAGATTTCTTCTTTGGAAACGATTCAGTGTCTTCTTATTCAACAAGTAAGTGATCAATATATAATAAGAAACTTTTATATTTATATTTTTTTTTATAATAATTGATATTTCTATAATAATTATCGACATATAAACATCTTAGAAATCACTAATTTCAAATTTTTTTGTACATTTTTTATTACATTTTATAAATATATGATTGAAATACATAAATATTAAATATCCTTATTAAAAGCAAGAGAATATAATAAAAAAAATAAATATTAATTTAAAATTATCTAAAACTAAAATATATTAATAAATGATTATATGTAACTTAAATTTTTTTGTTTTTCTTTTTTCTATATATCAATGTTTGTACAAATTGCTCTTTCCAAATCTTAACATTATTTTTGAACTTATTGTATTTTCGCAAGCACACACACACATGAAATATATATATATATATATATAATTTTAAAATACAATATTCAATTTAGCATGCTTCTGAATTCTGAAGTTCAAAATAATAGCATATTTAAACTCATAATTTTGAACACAGGTCCAAAAGCCACAAGCACATTACTGACAGAAGAAAAAAGTCCTACCATATAACATGTAAACCAGCTAATCATACAACTACTATAGAACCAAAATATAAATCATCTAATGAATATAATGGGACCATTCCAAAATCATCTTACATATCTCCACGAAAGGTATTTTCTATTTAAAAAAAAAATTATTCAATTTGTTGATAAATATTATTTTTTAATATTTTTCTACAATTTTAATACATAATATAGATTATAGAAATAGAAAAATAATTGAAAATTTTAATTACTGAAAAATAAATGCACATTAAAAATAAACGTGCGCAATACAATCCTTTAGTAATTTATTCATATATTACGTATATATGTATATTTATTTTTGTTAATAGGCACCATATTTAAGCATGCCTGCGAGCATTAAGCAAGCAATAATACAACCTCGAATTTTGCATTCTGATACTAAAAGCTTTTACGAATCGACATTATGGAAAAAAGAAAAGGAAATTTGCATATCACGAATGGGACGTGACAGTAAAGAGCAAATAGAAGTATATGAAAATGTTTTTTTTACATTATCTTATGCATTTTTTGTGTTAATCGTGTTATTATTGCACGTATGATTTTATATTTTTAGAATTTATCATCACTACAACAAACAAGTTATAATGATACTCCGATCACTGACGATGATAAAGTACAATGTTCCAAACCAGACTTGATAAATGGTGATGCTACATATACTATTGAGTTTAAGGAAAAGGGTATATTGAAAGAAATATATATTTGCTTTTTCTTTTAAATTTTATATTAAAATATATTTTATATAATGCTTTATTATGTATGTTTATACCATTATTGACGACATATATAGATTAATAATTTTTTATTTTCATTATATTTAGATAATTATATCAAAGAAGAATCACTCTTAAAAGATACGGGAGATGATTATGTATCAACAAAAGTCCCAACTTTTTCAAATAAATCAATACAAGATCTAAAAAATGCTCTTGATCGTGCCACAGAAATAGTACACTCAGTAACACCATCCAAAATTAGTAATTCCAAGGTCGACTGGACTAATTCGAAAGAATTTGAAACAGTATTAAAAGATCTGTATGAAACTAAATATAATAAGAACCAAAATAGAGTTATCGAAAGATGGACACCTAGAAATACCAATTTCCTGGAAATAAATAAAACTAGAAATACAGAAAATAAAATTGGAGCTTCCATAAGACATGAAGAAATGTTCAATCAAGCTTTCATAAATAGTGAAAAATTTAGTTCCACAGCCATGAAAACATTAAATGAATCTCGAATGTTAAGAGAGCAACACTCGCTCGATTTGCAAAAAACGGATCATAATAATATGGTTTTTGCAAATAAGATGACATCAAACTCACAACAAGCCAAAGTAAATTCTAAGGCACAAGAGATGGAATATGTCAATGTAGATACTATTTCGAATAGTCTTGCAATAAAAGATTCACCGAGAAGACGTTCTCTACCCGCAAGACTGAATACTTTGACAATAATGTCTGTCCCAAAAATTACTCATAAAAAAGTAAGTATATAGTCCTAAATTTTATACGTAAATCAAACAATAAAAACATTACAAAGAGAGATAAAAATAATATTCGAAATTTCTACTAGAGTGGATATCTTATTTTATATTTTTAATATTTAAAAAACAAACTTCCGACATACTAATATAAGTAACTACCTGTTTCCTATGTTACAGAATATACCAGCTAGCCAATATTTGACCGAGGATATGTATATTGATGATGAATTTGGCAGTAGATTAAATTATAATCTAGTTCTTTTAGACGATGAGTTGCATTTGTTAAATACTGCTTTGAAAGACAATGAAAGTCTACCTCAGACTACAGAGTTATAAATATTGTCTTAGACTCAACTTGTTCATTCATTCGCACATACGTACAAAAATCATCACTCCTTTTAAATAATTTATGTTTATTTATATTCCATTTTGAAATAGCAAGATCAGTGCAAACTTTTGTTTCATATAACTGACGATACAATCTCAATGCGAAGAATAATTTAACAAGATTCGCTTATTTCTTATCATTTATGTGTACAAGCGCAAATAATATTACAAAATGTTTTTAAAGAATTTGTAATTTCGAAAAAAATTACTTTATTATTTGTAGATGAGCGAAAATAAGGATCAAAGTATATAATTTCATTTGTATTTGTTTAAATCATCACTTAAATATTTGAAAAAGAGGTCAAAATGACTTATAAAATTATTTTACTAAACAAGTTCTTTAAGAACATTTTGTATACAATTTCAAATTGTTTGATGAATACATACATACTTCATTTTATATAACATGCACAATTATCTTGTGCAATATTAATATAAGAATTATATATATAGTGTTGATATCCTTTTATATTTGTCATAAAAGTTATATAATGTATAGATGAAAAAAATATCATTTCTTATAAAAGCAAATCTAAGAAAATTAAATAAGTTTTCCTGCATCTACTTCTATTAGTATATACTCGAATTATATCACATATTCAGCATTGCTTTAACTGCATATAAATAGCATATAAACTGCATATAAATAGCACAATCATTTATGGTCTTCTACTATTAGCAATTTCTATAAATTTGTGTAAAAATATTTTGTCAAGTAACATCAGAACCAAAAATTTTATTTTTGAAAGTAGAGCTTACTACATCTTATATCCATGAATTATTAAATTTTCGAGCACAAAATTATACCTTGTAGATGAGTAAATCTAAAGAGCCAATCCAAAAACAGACACAATGCAATACATTGTTTTATTTTCCCAGCGTACTGTGCAGCTTCCATCAGTAGCATTATCCCAGTAACATGAACTTGCGGTATGAAGTCCAGCACCATTTTTTTGCATGATTGTACAAGTTACTGTAAACATAATTTGCTATTAATTTATTTTTATATTGCAAATTTTTAAATTTTAAACAAATTACTGATTAATCGAATAATGTACAGTTATGATATTTTTCTCTTAAAATATTATCTTAAAATGTTTTATCAAGATCTTAATACGTGATAAAATAGATGATTTCTAGTTTTTTTTATAAAGATCAGTTTGCATTACATACCAATATATTTGTAAGCCTTCTGTAATTTTGTAAGATTCCCTAAACATGCCTCTACAACGTTCGAAGTCCATTGATTGACTTTATTATGTTGATATGCATTGCCTCCTATTGATACTTCGATTGCTTCTTTGATAATGTTGCTTACATCATCCACCACAAATTGCAACTTAAATGATAATGATAAAATGTTTTACATAAAAAGCAATGAGTTATATATATAATATGATATAGAATATTGAAATTTTAGTTAAATTTTTAAAATATTTTGATATTTAGTATGAAACATTAGACAATCATAATAAAAATGAATCATTTTACAACTGAATCTAAGGAAAGATACATTCATAAGTTTATTAAAATCAATTAAAAATATTCTACATATTGTATTATTTTAGCAAAAATTAAACGATAATGGCTGATTTGTATAATTTCTATCTTTGTAGCTACATGATCAACATTTTGTATTCAAACAAAAGTATGAAAAAAAATGTTCAACTAACCTCCTCTTGCGCGTCCTCCATTTCAAACAAACGTTAAAGACTGCTTTATAAGAGAATAATTTTTATAATAATTCGGAAGTTATTGTTCGTTCAATTCCAGAACGATTGTCAGTTTTAATAGAGCTAAAAAATAAAAATATATTAGACATCTGGATTGTCATGAAAATCATTTTGATGAGTTTCTACGCATAAGCAGAGACCTACAATAATTTTCCACGTAAATATTTTCCACCTCGAATTAATGATAACAAAAATATTGCACTGTTGAGATTTATCGTCGTATTCGTTTTACTGTTTAATATTGTTGCTTGACAGTTACCCTCTATCTGTGAACATAACCAGCTAAAGTCAATGATAACTCAACTGTCACAATGTCACTGCGCCGGTTGTTTGTTGCAAATATATTCTTACGATAAGCCAATTTAAAGCCAAAGTTTCTCAAACTACGGGTACTTTCTAATAATAATGTAAGAAAATTTATTTACTTATTCTCAAATTTATCTATCCCACTCAAAAGTAGGATTTTATTCATTTTTTGTATATTCTTTTCGAATCTTCATAAATTTGTTAACAATCTCTTTTTAGAATTCTAAAAAAAATTATTTTGCCTCTCTGCAAATGTAAAATAATTTATATGTATTTCAGAATACTCTAAAAAATAAAAAAATCTTATATATCTTTAATAATTTTCAAAAAATATATAATTTGCAATATTTTTTGTGGTGCTAATTTATGATGTAAAAGTTTTTTTATTTGCAGGAATTTGGATCGGAAAATATTCTCGTATGAGAACCACTGCTCCGCAGTGACATTTCGATTTGACGTTTGGCAGGCCTGCGCGTGACGTACCAACATGGCGATCAGCTGATGAGCAGCGCCACCGATGACAGCGCGCCAGGCGGTCGCATCGCAAAGCATCGTTTTGAAAAGTAACGACGTGCGTGTACGTGCTCGCGTTTGGCTCGTGTTTACGGTCGGGAAAATACAAGGAATACAGTGAGTTAATATTGTGAGAATAATGGCTGAGTTCGAGGAAACGATGTCTTCGCTCATGAGAACGATGGAGCTTGACATGTGAGTAAATGTTACGGACAAATTCTACTTCCAACACCAACAATACACACACTCACGCGACCCCCTCTTGCGATTCCTGTACATCAGACATTTCACGCATATATATGCGTATATGTGTATACCTATGTGGGAGATCTGTGTGTATTCGTAAATATAAATAGATTCCGCTGTTGAAATGGTATCTGCTTTTTGTTGTTCATTCAAATTTATAGGAGTAAGAAAAAGAAAGAAAGAGGGAGAGAGGAGAGAAAGAGAGAAGAGGAGAGAGAGAGAGAGAGAGAGAGAGAGGGAGGAAGGGAGAAAAAGACAGAGAAGGAGGGAGAGAGAGAGACCTATATTATAAAAACTCAAATGGAATGCACGATCGATTATATTAACATTTGTTTACATTGTTTAGAATAATGTCGTTCAATCGTATTTCATCTATTTTAATGAATATTCTTTCATTTTTGGTCCGTTTATCACATTCTATAATTTTTTAAAATTGATATCATTTTTATATAACAGAATTAAAATAATTTCACACACGTTCTTGAGAGATTGGTTTCAATCTTGAAAATTATTCTGGAATAAAAAAAATATATATAGAATTTTTAAAAAACATAAATGAGACATGCGAGTTGACAACGTTAATGTCATGTAATTTCGCAACATATATTCCACAATAAATCATGAATTTACTTGCTGCGTTTGCATTAACAGTGATTATCTTTTCTTAGGGTTAAAGATCAATTTACATTGCATATCAATCTCCCATTTGTCGTATCAATCCCTCTACACATAAGTAAGCGATAAAAGTAACAAGAAGATTCTTTGCACGTGATGTTAAATATTTTTATATAATTAAATATTTCATAAAAAAAACAAATGTCGATTGTAAGTTCTCCAAAAAATATTTTGGAGAAAAAATAATTTTATTTTTTAATATAAAAGGAGGGAATATCGAATTTAAATTGATATTACATTCCTGTTTCAAGAAAATTGCAGCGAGATTAATCGACTAAAAAAAACTTGAATTCTCAATCAACATTTAATTCGAGTTTCGTGGGTGTTTTTAGACTCTTCCGTGCTCCTCGTTTCCGTTTTTGTCATTCAGCATTCGCTCTCTTTACTTTCCCATCTTTTTTACCACATGTTTTTCCCTTTTTACCATTATATGCAAGCTGCTTTCATGGGGAGTCTCTTTTCCCTTCTGCTCTTTGATCCGAGGGTACAGTGGCATTTATGCATTGACTGTTGCATGCTGATTTACACGTCTGCTGATAACGAGAAAAGGCCAGTGAAAGTAGAGAGAGATAGGGTTTATATTTTTGGTTGATATTTCGAAACCTCATATTTATTTAATCATCGAACAAATAAATTAAAATTGTTTTTTTTTTTCAATTTAATTGTGCATTTGGTGCATATCAAAAAAATAAACTTATTTTTTAACAGATTTATGATTGATAATTTTTATAGAAAATATACAAATAAAATTGATGACTTGAATAAAAATATTGAGTATTAATTAAATACACAGAGAGAATTTTCTCTTAGAATTTATTCTGAAAATCACATGTAATCGTGAGACAATATATAGTATTGGAAAAATTTTATAAAAGTTTCTCTGATTAATATTATCATAATAAAAATACTAATATCTACCATAATAAGATACAAAATATGTTCGACTGATTTTACTATGTACATAGTAAAATTTACTATGTACTTATGAATATTAATTACATATATTAATATTTTTTATTGTGGTAATAAAAATATTAATCAGAAAAACTCTTATAAAATAATTACAATACCATATTGTCCTACGATTACCATGATTTTCCATGATTTTCAGAGTAAATTCTAAGAGAAAATTCTCTCCCTGTAAATATTATTTATAATTATATATAGCTATTTTTATTATAAAGATATTATTTAAATTTGCGAGTTTCGACATATTCAGAAAAAAGAATATTTTCTCTGTAATTATAAATATTTAAAAGAAAGCTATTTATATAAAAAAATATATTTATAAAATATTGAATATTATATAGTACCTTTAATTTAGAAAAGATTAGAAATAAAGATTATGTATTTAGAAAAATAAGATAATTGAGATTCGTATTTATGATGTTGAAGAAGGATGTTTAATTTTATTTCTTCAAGATGAGTTTTCGGATTTTTTTTTTTTTTTTTTTTTTTTTTACCTCTGCTCCGGATCGGAGAGAAGAGAGGCTGCAACCCTTCCTCTTTCTCCTCCTCTCCAGAGTTACGCTCTGGTTGACACAGCGCATCCCTTGCGTCTCCCTTTGGCGGCCCCTCTCCCCCGCAGCGTCACCATCCCTCTATTTCTGCTCGGCACACGCATTGCCGTCTTTCGTCAGTCGTCTTCGGAGCGTCGCGTGATAACGTAGGTAACGTCTTGTGAAACGTGATCCCGATCCCGCGCTCTTCTGCGTCATAGAACAAACGTATTCGAATAAACAAATTGAAATCAGCGCAAGATTCTGCGTTGCATCGAATGCAAAACAACGGAGGTTCTCCCACTTCGCGAAACGTCATCATCGCGAGATCGAGATATTAGCGCGCATTAATCATCGTCGAGCTTGAACGAGAGAGATAGAGTACATCCCCTTTATGAAGTCATTTGTACAGGAAGCTGAAAGCTCCGCCGGATTTCTAAAAAACTCGTCGTGATAAGTACGTCATCCTGTCATCGATCAGCTGATTGTCATCCGCATTAAATCGCGAGTCGTCTGAAATTGACGCGAATATCGCCGCCGATGACGAGCCTCGTTTTAATACGCGAACAATCGAAATCATCCTCGACGAGATTCGATAACAGCCGTGGAATTATCTGACGCGTCATCTTAAGCGAGAGTGAACTCCATTGATCGGTCCAGCAGAGAAACATAGTACGTTCGTGCTAACGTCACACGCCCACACGAGAAGATCACCCGGACTTTTTCGGGATTTTTATCGCTCGAATTTTCCGACCATGCCCATATTTCGCGAAAACGCGAGTGCGAGCTCCAGGATTGTTCGTGAAAACTCATCGGTGTTCGCGAGGACCTGATCTTTCTCCCGAAAGAAAATAAGATACTGTCGTCTTTTGTGTGTGATTAATTCGTTTGCGCGTTTTCAGAGAGACAACATTATAATTATCGTGCAAAGAAAAATTGCATTTTTCTCGCGGAAGAGAATTGTGTACGTACTTTATCTCGTACTTTATCGAGACTTTTTCGAGAGCCGAAAAAAACGTTACAATAACACTCTTTGTAGTGCCGAGGGTTAGCGAAATTTTGTGAACGCATCACGTGTTTTCATCTCGCGATTGTTGTCGAACGCGAGAATCTGCGGAATGCTTCTCGGCGGTTGCAGATATTCGTCCCAAAATCAAAATGTGCCGTCCACGAGGAGCAACGCTTGGGGCTCCAGTCCTTTTCGAAAGTGAGTGCCATATATTCACACAAAAAAGGGAGAAGGATTGAATAATAATTTAATTATTAATTATTACAAAATTATATTTCAAGTTAAAGATGAAAAAAGATCAAAAAGTTTTAGGAAATTAACTTTAACAATACGACTGCAATCTTATAAATTAAAAATTTTGTTGTTCCTAAAAAAGTGTATAATTCAGAATTTTATATTTGTCAAGAGGAACCATTTCAGTTTTGAAAAATCGTTAATTTTTCGTAAAATAAAATTTCTGAATTTTTTTATCTCTTTAGAATGTATTTCACACTCAGACATTAAGTTATTAAATTTAATTTTTTACAAGATCTGTTCAAATGTACTAATTTAAGAAAGATACATTAAAGCTATACATGTGCTTTCATGACATCAAAAGTATAACTTTCGAGTACATTAAAACATTAACATTAAAAAATTAATACAATACAGAAAGGATTATTGACAAGGTTTCGTTTGCTTCTTTGTGCTCTTTATCTTTTAACGAGCACGCATACGGAACATTTAGCAGGTGTCTATTATAACATACTTTCATCATCTTTCAGAGAAATTAATAGTGCATATCGTAATAGGTTAGTAATTTATAGTAAATACGTAAAATGCATCAGGTTTTTTAAATTGATGATACCTTTTGTAATATACATATAGATATAGTGCTTTTATAATCCTGGTTCTTATTTTATTATTTTTACTTGCATATGGCATATAAAAATGATTATGCAATACACTTTTTATTATTTGATATAATATGTAATATAATATGTATTTTTTTACATTAAATTGAGCTCTACATATTTATTTTTTTTTAAATATTATATTAGGACAATTGTGCAGTGATGAGAAAGAGATCTTTTTATCTCAATACATAAAAATTAACTAATAATTAAATAATAAATGATGCAATCATACGATGCATGTGCGTTTGCAGATACACCATACATCGTATGTATTGCAAATAAAACTCTTCTGTCAGGATCCAGCTAATTATTTAACTGCTCTGTCAATTCGTTTAACGAACCGTTAATTGAGGAAACTTTGCTCACCCGACATCTACGTGGTCTCATATATTGTAACCTACTAAACGTTCGAATTATCTCATAGAAAGATGCCATTCATAAATTTATTATTTAAATAAGTAATTTGAAGAATTTCTAATTCAAATATTTCATCAAATTTTAAGAGACATCACAATTATATATGTATTATTTGTATGAATACTATATTATTAGTCATTAATTATATAATTATTTTAATCGCAATCAAAATACTGCAATAATATTAATTATTTATTATTAAACAAAGACAAATGCGTAATTGAACATATATAATTCAATGTGCTTTTATTTCTTTTTTATGTCATTTTATTTTTCTATATACGTATGTGTGCCTATATTTTTTTCGTAATTAATAATTAGCTTAGCTTAGCCTTTCTAGCTTATAATCCTTTTTTATAATGTACTATTTATATCGAATATCACAAAAACGAGACGTGCATGTGACGCATATTTTGGTCCATGTGGCTGCTGCTGCTGCACATCCGACTCTGTTACATATATTGATTACTTGCTACATCCACCATCTCTTGCCAGATGATGGCAGCAGCTAATGCCCTCTTCATCAGATTACTTCCTTATATCAAGTACTTATAAAAAGCAATGTTCTTTATCCGAGCAAAGAGAAAAAGAAAAAGAAAATTATATTTATTTAATAAAATATTACAAATTATATAGTGATTTCTTGAATGATACATATTGTATTTTAATAATTGAGCAAATATTTACATATTTAATTTTTATTTTTACGAATATTAATGTCACCGTTGTTAATTGGAACAATTAAAAAAATATGATCAAACATTAATACATAGATGTTTTTTTCTGATACAATTATAATTCTGGGTAATAATATTTTGCGAATAAGTTGTATATTTTGTTGCAAGAAAATATTGTTCTTGAAATTAAAAATTTCGCGACAGACGGACACTTGTTTCAATCTTCGGAAATAACAGAAAATCATCTATAAAATTAAATCAAAATATGTCACGCGAGCATACACGTAATGAATGAGCATACGCAGTTACAAAATGCACAAACTTATATATGCTTAAACGCTTCGTTATCGCGTAATGCATTCGTCTTTGGGATCCTTAACATCATCCGACACACGCATCCTCGGTGTAAAATTCTGAGAAGTCCATATTGGGATTCGTTAAACCTGGCAGAAAGGGTAGTGCTTAATATAAACAGTGTTTGATGTATAGGAATAAAGCTGAAAAACCGACGTTTCTTGCACGTGTCTTTAGCAATTGCAGTTCGAGCACATTGAACTCAATTAATAAGCTGTTAAAACCTCAGGCCTATATAATTTAATAGGATTATATGATTTGATGATATCTAACAAGATATAGATTTTCAAAAATTTAGAAAGACTTTAAAAAGAAGAGAGAAACAGAAGATTCTAAATTATATATAAATCTTGAATTAACAATTGATAAAAAAATATATATATATAAGTTGTTTTAATTCTGAAAAAATAAAGCGATTAATTATATTAAAAAGATTTGTCGCAGATTGTAGAAATACCAATATATAAATAATTCAAATTTATGAATAATTATTATTCAGATATAATTTTAGGTAAACTTATATATATTTGAATATTTAATTTTAACTCGAGATTTAATTATTTATTAAATAATTGGAAAATAAAAATAAACAGTTTTTTGAGGAAGTAAAAGAGGAATTCTACAGCGAGCAACCATAAGGAATTGCAGAGCAAGGAACTCATAAATGATTGGAATGACGATAGACCTTTGAAACATTCTCTGTATATGCTCTTATTTGTTCGGTTAAATTGCTGGCAGAGCTATTGTTGGCAGACGATCCGTCGTCTTTATGATCGTTTAACGATATAAGAAGGATCTGAAGAAGATCCAACTATTTTCGAGCTTGGCTCACTCAGGGTGTAATTAATGCTTTGTTTTCCCGAGGAATTCCGCGGCCAACAAAACCTGTGTTTCTTGTTGTTAGAGATAGCTTGGACATTACGTCGCTCGAAAATCGTGTTCTTCTACTTGCATTCGCATCATTATTTCCCTTTCGATTTCTGCCTATTTCTCTTCTGCTGTTTATATCATAATGATTGTAAGTGCATTTTTTAAAGTAAAAAAACTGTAGGATTTATATGTTTATATTTTTGGGATATATATTTAAGATGATTTTTTGAAAATTGTTATTGTATATTCTATTTTTTACTTTACTTTCTATTATATTTTATTATTTATTTTAGCGATTTATTTTCTTCGGCATTTAAATTGATTTTGAAAAAAAATTAAATTGTATTTAATTTTATTGTATTTAAATATGTGATAATTATAATTATATCACTTCCTTGTTTATAATAATTTTTTTACATTGGAAGAAAAAATTTCAGTAGTATGAACATAATAAATCACGAGCGATATTAGACACATGTTCCATCATTTATACAAACATATATTCGAATTCTTCGTTATGCAACGACAATATATGAAGTTATAGCATTGCCTTCTTTGTGCCTACCATATGTTTTCTAATTATAACTGAAAATTATAGTACACTGCAGTGACTTTGTGAACACGCATTATGCAAATTAATTTTTCGATATTACATTCAATCTGCAAAAATCCTTTTGATGCAATTTTATTTGTGCAGATACAATATGAAATAATAATGGAGCACATAATTTACATTAATTTAATTAATCGGCGTATATTTAACTTGCATCTATCGTTCTTGTAAGAATTGCAAAACATTGTTTGATTGGATCATCTTAGAATGAATATTTTATCTTTAGAGAAAGAGAACACACATTTTGTCATGATTTTATGGTATGACTATATGTTTCTCGTAGAAAATCCTCTTTACTATGAAATACGATACTCTTTCCACAGAAATTCCACACGCGTTATGATTTGCAAATGTCTTTCATGGCGTGGCTATTTCTAGTTTACAAGATTCGGATAAATATATTATGTAAAAGAATCTATGTTTTTAGATATCGTTTTTATTTCTGAAAAAAATATAAATTTTTTATCGTTCACAAAATTGAAGTAATTATTAAAAATCTACATTACATAATTAATATATTAATTCATATTTCCTGAAAATCTTTCAAGCGATAATTTATTTTTATAAAAAAAATTGTTTAGAATAATTGTGAATTAATTGCTTGCATAAAAGTATCATTTTACGTTTGATATGTTCTATTCATTTTTTATTTTATACATTTGCGTCCGGCATAAATTTTTATTATTTTTTTTTTAAATAATATAGTTTTTTATTCCGATTTTATATATCACAAATACTTGAATAATATCCAAGTTTTCTCGACGAAATGTGAGAATCAAACTCGAATTATCTCGAGATAGCTTATGTATAACTGTTATCTCTTTGTTAGATTAAGAAGTTTGTGCAAGCTGTATAACAGGACAAGATATTACATATTTTCAACGTTTTTTTTACAAGAAAAATTTTGAAGTTTTTATTTAACATGCTTAACCCTTTCAAATCACGAATTCACACATAATACTTAATAAATTTAAATAATACCATAAACTTTTTCAAAAATGTTACACATGTGAATCACCTGTAGATTCTGAGTCACCAAGTGTGTTTATTTATGTTCCACGCCTATATAAGTTGCTATCTAAATTTCTTCTTATTTACGCGGATGATATCTTATCCACATTACAAAATTATAATAATGAAAATATTACTTTACTATAAAATTTTTATAGAATAATTAAACTATATCTAAATAATTTGGCATCGATTTTCCTTAATTAGCTTTCCAAATTACTTATGATATATTAACTTTTAATAATATAAATTTTTTTATTAAACATTTTACGATTATTGAAAATTTGTCTATCCAATAAAAAACTGCTTTTTTATTGAATTAAAAGAAAAAAAATCGCAAAAAAAATTATATCCAATTGCGATGGCTATAATTTAAAATTCTTAATTTTCATATATACAATTCATTTATTTTTTTCTTAATTTTCTTTATAATATCCAAGACAAAAAAGATTTTTACGAACATTTCATACCTTTAGATCGTATTAGTGCATCAATTTAGAACTCATCGGAACTGTCATGAGTCGTAGTGCGAAATAGCATAAAAGAAGCACAGCGCAGATTAATTACTCATTTTGCGCTGCAGCGTCCCATGGGGGAAGAACCGGAATAGGATTTACGTGAAATCTAAATAAAACTTTACTGGAAATTTTCGTTTTTCTCTCTCTTTCTCTTTCGTCGCCCGAGACAGCTCGGCCACGCAGCGAGTTAATATACATATATAAATCCATGTATATAAAACCCTCGTATATATAGCTCCCTTAACATCAGTAATGACTTCTAAGCAGAACTACGACTTGGACGGAAATTCTGCATAAGCGATTAATTTCGTACAACGGACTCTGTTCTGCGACTATTACGAAAATGACCTGTTACATTTAGATCTTTAAATTAAATCATAGTACCACTATTGCATAAGTATATGCAAGTCTCGGTAGAAATACTTTGTAATTTGTATTCTTAATTGGTTGCTTTCTCATGAACTGTGTTGATATAATAGTGTTTCGTTATTGATAAAATATTATCATTGATAATATTGATTTCTTAATTGTCACAAGAAACATATATAATTACAAATGTATTAGTAATATTGCGTATTAATTATTATTATTTATTATTATTTATTTATTCCTGATATTAGGAATAAGAAAACTAATAGTAGGAAATTTATCCTAATATTAGGAAAAAAGAAAACTAATATTAGGAAATATATTTCTAATATTATAATATAGGAATAAATAAAACAAATATTAGATAATTTATTCTTAATATTAGGAAAAAATAAAAATTAGGAAATTTTTTTATTCCTAATATTAGAAATAAATAGAACTAATATTAGGAAGAGCAGATATGAAACTTTTTTCATTCGATGTATTCCTATAAATCATTGTCCACACACGTGTCGAAATTGACATTGTTATTTTTGTAGCTTTAAACATTCCACTGGATCCCTGAAAATAGAATTTGACGCTTGCTTTGATTCTTCTCAAACAAACGTTTCATCTAATTCGGTCCTGGCTATTTCCTGCCACGTACCATAATACCATTTTTAGAGTCTTATTTCGAAAACAATAATCATTCACACTCATTTCGTATTATTTTCCACTTTAGTTCAAACGTTAAAAAAATATCAAATCATAATTTAATTAATGAAATAAGATTTATTTGTTTACTATTTATCCCATGACTAAAATTAAAATTTTATATTAACTGTCAATATACTGCAATTAATTTTTTAATTTTTGTTGCAGCACCGGTATGCCGTTGCAGGACATCACAATGAGTCAAACTATGCCATTGACAAATGGTGAGTAACTATGTTTCCCATCACACTAGCTAGTTATAGCAATTTTATAATATGAATCATATATTGTCAGTAACATTTGAGATTAAATAACAATTTAAAATTGTAATTTAAACACGAATAAAAATTACAAGTAGATATAAGCAGGAAAAATAATCAAGGATTGAAAAAAGAGACACAATTTAAAGTTTTTAAATCTTCTTCCAAAGAGAATCTCTTTTTCCATGGTACATTAATTAATATTTCGCCGGGGAGGTCATCCCTAAGAATGGCCGGATATGATTTTACGCTCTATAAAGACGAAGGCGAGGCGGAAGATTCGTATTTATTATTTACGACCTCGAGTATCGACGATTATATCTTACCTCGGCAGATATATCTCGATGAAATGAATCGAGTCGCCACTCAAATAAGTCGTCATCGATATCGCAAACCATAATATGGTAGCTCGATTAAGCGGCCTTTTCCCTTGCACGTTTATTGCTCACTTCCCTTAAGTAATTGAACCCCCTACCGTTTCTATTTCAATTATAGCTGCAATTGCGATGCTGTTAGCCGTGTATCAGTTATGTTGCTCCCAGCTGGCTATCATTTTTTATCCCTATTTTGATATGAAAATTAATCCATTTTCAGAAATATTTTTCTCTGCACAAGAGAATATCATCTTTTTTTTTATTTGATAAAATCTGATGGGACATCTAATTATCTTCCATAGATTTTTAACATCTTGCCAATTCAGAGTATTTTTTATTTTTCAAAAATTAAAGAGATTTATTATTATTTATTTATATATAAAATTCGTTTTTCGTATATTCACGCGATAATTGCGTATATTTTTCCGATTCTAACAGCTGACATTTGCATTTGTTGTTCGTTTATTATGTATGAGGCACTTTTAGAGGCCACGTGTAGATGCGTAGGAGGATATCATATCGGCACATGGCTCGTTACTCCCATTCGCACGATCTTCATTTTCTGCCGTTATCTGCGTAGTTAACAATCGATTGTGCGACATTATTACGCGGAGGTGCCGTTACGTACTTGATTAGAGAAAATGTACGTGACCGCCTAATTGGGAGGTCAACGAACCTTCTTGCACGCGGTTTTACTCTAGCGAGACGACAGGTATAATAATGGTCCTGCGTCTGCGCTGGATCAGCGCAATACTACGTCTGCCAAGTTTTACGCCTCCGTTATCTCGTACGCGAATCTATAATCCAGGAAGATCGCCATTCTTGGAAGCTCTTCTTGATAGATATCATGAAAAACATTATATGCGCACTTTCAATAGATGCATGATTATTTTTTTAAATTATCAAAACACGACCAAAAAATACATTTAGAAATTTAAAGTTTTATAATCATAATTATATAATTTATATTTATATATATATAATAATATATTTAATAATTATATATAATCAAGACCGATAGATTTAAAAATATGAGAGCTTTATAATTTATTTGACCTAAATTTCGACGATTCGCCCTATGTCATCGATCTAGTAGTACTCGAATTACGACAATTGGGACACATCCGCACTTTGATTCAGCTCTCGATGGGGTCTAAAATGGTAAAATGGTCAAGGTCATGAATACGTTGCAACAGTATAGGATGGATGCAATTAATGTTAGTGCCGCGCCTTCTAATCTGGCCGGGATTGATTGTTTGTATCGTCTGAAAAATGTCTGTCGCGATCTCGTGTTACAGGAAGCCAGCATTTATTTTGGGGGACGACAGAAGCTTCGTGTCGATGGGGAAGTTGCACGAACACAATGAAACAGCGTGTATTTATTTTTGTACACGATTATATTTTTAACACGAAAGAAGTATAATTTTATTATATTTTTTCGAACGCGCTTGCAATTTACTTCGTAATAAAATGACGTATTTTTAAATATATTTATAAATTATTAATATTAAATATATTTTAAAAATGTAACGTAATTGAAAAGTTTTATTTTTTATTACATTCTGTAACACATAACTGTTACGAATGTCATTTCTGAAACTTATAAATTTCGAAGAAGCACATTAAATATTAAGAGAACACTTAGAAGTCATCAAGTGATGCTCCAAGCCCGCTCAAGTAGCTTTGATAATTCTCAATTTAAATCATTTGATGATATTTTTATACATTTTTTTAGGCCTCAATAATACAAATATATATTTAAGTTGCGATATATATAAATAATTAGTATGTTAAAAGATCGAAATTCTCCACATATTTAGCTATGGAAAATAAATTAAAATCTAAATATTCTTTCCAACATCAAATACTTTTTTATGTTCTAAAATATGCCATATTTTAAATTTTTTAAACATATTTTACATATTGAATTTTTCAATTTAACATGTTTTGTTATTAGACAAATTATTTTACACAAGTATTTTACATTTTTATGCTTTATGAAAGAATATAGTCAGTTTAATTTTGTTTTGACTTGATGAAACAATGAGTTTCACGTTGTAAAATTGTATTTAAATTGATAAGCAGACGTGCAGTCTGTTAGATGACCTGGATGCTATCCCGACCTACTAGTCGGACTCTCGAAATAAACGGCAAAATTTTTTGTCTAATTCAAATCTACCATAGGAATTATTGGCCGGCTTCTTGTTACCCGGAGACGAACGAGCAGAAGCTTCAGCTTCAATTTGCATGTTCTATCCGAGACAAGTGTTGTGCATTCACAAAGTCCGAAGACGTTCAGCTAAAAAGCTGTTTCGCAGATGACAGTAACATGAAGGAATGATTCAGATATATATAAGCGACCATATTGTTTGCGTCATTTGCTTTGTTAGATACAAAATCCGAACAATACAGGACACAACTTTAAACAACCTTGTAGAATTTATTTTTTTTATCGATTAGATATTTTTTTATTTCTATTACATTTATATTAAATCGTTATTTTTTTTTTACTAAAAAAAATCAATTATCAGAGAATTAATTATTAATATTCTACTAAAATAATTAATAATTGTTAGGAGAGTACTATTAATAATTCCTAATTGAAATGTTCCTTAAAAATTTATAAAAATTTAAGATGAAATTAATTTAAGAAAAATTGCAAATTGAAAAAAATTAATTTAAGAAATTAAAATCAATTAATTCAAAGATAGAAAAATATGATATAATTTTTCTCAATTTGTTTAGACATTTTTTTCTCCCAGCAGCTAACAATTAGCTAACATGAATGAAGAGATACAATGTATTGATCTCCAAAAAATATTGAAATTGGGGGCAGCGTTCATCTCTGACCGGTGTGTTGGTGAGATTTTAATTGTCGGCCAGACTAGCCAGATTGATGATGATCTGGAGAGAGTGAGAGTCCTCGAAGCGGAGACTGACCTGCCAAAATAAAGATAGTTTAAACCGTTCTGGCCTAAATGTGTCATCTATAAATACGCGGGAAGCTCGCTCGCTTCGCGGTCTACTCGCTGGCGCGAATCGATATTGCAGTTGCATTTCTGCCGAAAATCGCGAGGCATCGTCTCGAGTTCGCGATCGGACAGGAAATAGATTTGTTCTGGTGCGCACACAAAGCTCTCTCAGCCTCTCTCTAGACGTCTTTTTCTTCTCTTCCTCGCTTTCTCGGGCTTTTCACGTCGGCACGTCAAGACACGTGACGTGCACTGGTGATGATCCTCGCCAATGACAGTTCAAAAGCGAATTCACGCTCGTGTTTAAACATTACGACGACTTTTACGGCCTATAATGAAGTCTTCGTATTCGTAAAATGTGTTTCGCTTTTTGGAAATGAGAAGTTCGGAGAAAATTACCCTTTCGTTTTATTCAGCATATATAATATGTAATAAATTTATTGGGAGGGATGCCATGTAAATATTTGTACAATATTTGTGTAATACTTATCGGAATGTAGAAACCATTACAATATAATATTGTATATTTCAAAATATATCTATGTGTGTGAAGTTATCAGAAGTCTCAATTTGTATGAAATATAAAGTCAGAACTCTTAATTATTTATGAGTTTCCACAAAATGAGACTTTACACACACACATAATATTTCATTAAAAGATTATTTTATATTGTATGACTGATTTTTCTAATATCAATTTAATTCTAACAAAATGTTTTTAATTTGAAGTTTCATTATTATAATACTTAAAAATTAAAAAATGGGTGTAGATAATTATTCTCATCCATTATGATTTTAAAAAGATTATTTCAAGAATAAATAGTTTAATATAATTTATAATTAAAATAATTTAATTTTTAATGTATGAAATAACTAAAAAATATTTTTATAAGAATTTAATGTTTCTCTTTTTTGTAGTAATGCTTCTGATTTTTTTATGTTAAGAAAAAGGCGATATTATAGAATAAATTTGTCTCTACGGATAAATTTATTCCATGTGACAGCGTAACATTTTGGGTATGAAAGGGATATGGAAAACGTGTATCGTTAATTAGACTAGATGAATCACTCGTGTTCCACAGGGGAATAATCATTTCTAAGTAGCTCTTCGTGTTACTTAAATAGGCTAGTCGCAAACTTACTGTATGTATGAACTGTACATGCAAGTATTTGAAACAGCTTTATAATAATATTTTAATATTATTTATGACAAACTTGATATTTTTTTATCTTCAACTCTGTTATTCTGAACAAAGTCTTTTAAACACCACGACTAAAGAACATTAATTAAAACAATTTAATAGAAGGATTAATATAATAAAATTCACTTTCTTGTCAATCTTATAATTTTTTCGAATTTTTTATTTATTTTTAATGAATTTATATAAATTTTATGATCTCACAAATTAAATAAAATTTATCTGCTGTCAGTTTAAAGGTAGAAATCAAATCTTTTGTCATTAAGTTGCATCTATGAGAAAAATGAGTGATGAAGTTTTGTTGAAAATGTTAAATCTTGAAGAATTGATTGTCGACTATGAATCTGATTTTTGCGCTCTATTGAAAGAAAAAAAATGTTTATTGATCCGTTTCAGAATTAATTTGAAAGAGAATACATGGATGTTCGACCTTCGCGAAATATATGTATATATAACGTTACGTGTGCGCGTTTAGAATATAATTTTAACCACAGGTTATAGCCTCTTGTCTTTCCGACATCGCTCGTTATTCTGTGTCGCAGTTAATATTTGTGCAGCCGCCTCGTGCGAAGTCTTCTTTTACGCGGTGTGTCAATTTTTTTTCGCGATTTCGTACGGACATTTAAAAATGTAGCGACTTCAAAAACGCGTTCTTCGTGGAATGGGATGTGGTAGGTCGCGATCGAGACCCTTCTTGTCCTCGAGAAACCTCGAAGACGAGCCTGTAAGAATCAAAGTGTCAGATAGGAGAATTCTTAAAGATTTACAGTCCTCCGCTCTTATACGTAAGTTATCACTGATGAAAATTAATTTGAGATATTAAATATAATAAGAATACTGTATTGAGTATTGATAAATGCAAATTTTGCAATTAATTATTTTTAACAATAGATTATTATGAAATAATTAATACAAATTAATTATATAAACATCGCAATAATAACTTGCACAAGACTTATTTGCTTTCTATTTGTCAGCAGTTGCTGGCAAGTGATAAACGATCTCATAGCTCTCTATAAAGAGGCTGCAACAGTATCTTTTGAAAGAGAGTGTCAAAAGAAAATCAGAACAAATCATTAATTTTTTTAATATGTATTAATTATAATAGCAAATGCACTATTACATATATATTTACGAATCCTTGTAATTATCTAACTTATGAATTTTTTATAAATATTTTATATGCAATTATTGTAATAATTACTTGGAGAATGGGACAAATTCATTTTCCATTCCATATATTTGTTTTGTCGACTTTAATTAACTGTAAATATTATATTAAACATTATGTATATAAGCATGGAGATATAGTAATATATTCTTCTACATTATTTTTCTATACAAAGTATTAATATATAAAATAATTTATAATATATAAATGATTCATAATTACAATTGTAATTTGAACATGAAATGGACAAGTATTACTCAATATTTATATATGTCATAGATCATTCAATGTTTGGATTTTAATATGAGAATTTTTTTGGCGCCCAATGATGCGCTAAAATAATTTAATTTTAAGAGTACATGTCGACGGCGCCGCCGGATCTTCCAAAGTGAATTTGGCATTGCTTATGTTCGCCTAGAGAAGCTGAGAATAGATTGATTCATCCAGCGCCGACAGATGCTTCTGTAAAGAATTATTCTAAAAATAGTACATGGCTGATAAGAACTTTTCATATCGGCTTATATAGATATATTAAATTTAAAAGCCCAATTTTTGCAAAGAGAGGTGATATATAATAAAAGAATAATTAGTATTTGATACTAATTAGTATATGAGAGGATTTTACAAGAGAAAACTGGATTCTTTATGGTAAAATAAAAATTTCTAGACGAACATTTAAGTAATTCATAGTTAAATAATTACTCGACATATATAAAAAATATATAATACAAAATATTTAAAAAATATAGAATCGTATATAAATAAAAAATTATAAAACATAAAAATATAAAAGTAATACGTAAGTAGATAATGTTTCCACTCTTTAGGAAATAGTCTCATGAAAAATTAGGTAATTGAAAGTAACTGAACGACGTTCTTTTATTTGTATCGTTCTATTTGCGATTTGCGACATCGAACGAGGAAAATCGAGTATTTTCAAGATGATTAATTTATTAATTTCGGGTTTAATGCGGCATATACGGCGTATCGAGGTTATTCAAAATTCATATAGATTCCATTAGTGAATGTCGGAAATGATACGGCCAGATCCGGAAACTGAATTATTTGAGTGACAGGGAGAAAATTGAATTTGACGGTGAACTTACGATTATTTCATCGATTTTGCATGTGATTTTGTCACACGTTGTTCTCTTTCAAGATCTCGCATGTGAATGCCGGTGCAATTAAGTAGAAAAAAATGATTTCTTCAGCAATTCGTATTTTGTGTTGTATAAATAATCAATAATGAAATTATTGGATCTAATTAGCATTTAACCTTTATCGAAAAATATATGTAAATCGTAGAGTCATAAATTAAAACAATAAGTCGAATAAGAACACAAATATTATTTTAGTTTGATCTTTACTTAATTTTCGTAGAATTAAAATAATTTTATAGAGATATTGAATTTCATCTATCTACATTAATTACATTTATTGTTCATAGTAATTACGAGTAAATTTATGTGTTATATTTAAAAAAAGGACGAAACTTTGCACTACTAATTAAATGATCTGTATATGTATATTTCTCTCTTTTTTTCTTTCTTCCTTCAAAAATAAGAATTATTTGTATATTTACAGAAGAATTAAATATGGTATTTACGCTATAAAATTTATTGAGTTACATTATTGTGTACATAATCTTAAATATATAATTAGAGTACTTAAACTAATATTCTAATTACTATCTATTCCAGGTGAAAACACAAAAGCATATGGTGAAAATTTACCCGAGGATAAAAACAGTGCGACGATGGCACGGTCAGGAAGTGGTGGAAGCGGAAGTGGCGGAGGAGGCGGAAGCGGAGGGGTGGGTTATGGTAGAACCATGAAAGAATACGAGGACGAATTGAGCAGCTTGAAGAAAGAAAATTTTCAGCTGAAATTGCGAATTTATTTTTTGGAAGAAAAAAATCCTGCAAGAAGCGGCATCAGTTCCTCTGACGAGGATATAATCAAGACGAATGTGGAATTAAAGGTTGATTATTTAATATTGAGCTTGTTTGCAGTAAAAAGTCTTGCATTAATTATTAAAATTTGATTGTTTGAACGATTTATTATATTTGTTAAATGTTTTATCAATGAGATAAAATGATGATCTTTAGGACGAGTTGGAAAAACTAAGGAAGGAGGTGATGGAAAAGCAGGGTTTTCTCAATCAAGCAGCTACAGCTTTCAAATTATACGAGGAGCAAAAGGCAGCGACTCGAGATCAATATCAGCAATCACTTGAAGCGGAGCGAGAAAAAGTAATTAAGCTCGAAAAAGGTAAATATCAATTAATTTTATTCCCTCCGCAACTATTAAAATATTTGAAATTATTTTCTAATGCAAAATGTGTACATAAAATTTATTCGTTTTCTGCCACATTCATTATTTTTATATTTTATGTATATTTTATGCATCTGTTATATATCAATTTTTCTGCTATTCCAGAATTAGCGGAGCATCGTGTAAAGGAACTAGATGCATCCGGATTTTATAAAGAAACGTTCGGTATCACTCCAGAAGAAGCGTTGAAAAATGAGGAAAAATTGAGACAGATGGAAGAATTGGTAGCTTCTCTTGAAGCACAGGTATATTCATGTAGAAAGAAATTAATAACAATCATTTTGATATGTTGCGATAGACGAATTACTTTGAAAAGAACGTAATGTTTTACATTATAAAAATGGATGTTTACTTGAGTTTTATTAAATAAAATAAATTAATGATTAGTTTAAAATTAAATATTGACATTTCTAACAATTTTTTTTAACTAATTAGCAATATTTTAACGATAATAATGTTTCTTTCCTCGCCACGAATAGGTTGTAGATTTAATATAAACAACAATATAATCTCGAACAAAAAAGAAAGTAGAAATAATATCATTAATTAAACATTTTCTCCTTGTAGCAATTCCAACAATTGTGAATAATTTCTTGTTCGATTAAGACGATAATTTACAAAAAAGAAATGCTCGCGATACACGAAAAAGAATTATATTTACTTACATGACACTTGCGATTTAGATGAAACAAACAACCGTTATTTTGGACGAGGAACGATACTGGGCGGAAGAACTTGAGAATGAGAGGGACCAGTTCAGAGAGCAGTTGGATATGCAGACGCAATTGCGGGAGAAGCAGGATTGTGAGCGAGTGCGAAGCATTGAGAAACTGTGCGAAGAGGTAAAGGAATTGAAGGAGGAATTACTCAAGAAGGACTCCATTGTGCAACAATACAAGGACGATCTTAGCGAACGGGACAGGCTGCTGAAGCAGAAGAGTACATTGCTGGAGGAAAAGTGTCGCATGTGCGAGGAGCTTAACCAAATATCGGAGAAGAGGAAGAAACAAATCATTCAATTGAGGATATCGGTGAAAACGCGCGATGATGCCCTTGCAGAAGTTAACAATAAGCATCGTGCGCTATTATCGCAGGTGAACTCAGAAACTGCAAGCTTATATATCTATTTTAAAGCCAATATTTCTTTATTTGATTCTTCTGTCTACTATAATTCTTTGCTTTTTATATTTTTAGTGTGAATATAGCAAACGTTTGTCGCCGCCTACTAGTCCTTTGGCTATAACTTCGTCGGTGAATGCCGAATATTCATCGCCGTTAATGGGACAGAAGCAGCAATCTTATATTCAGAATACAAGATGTGAAGGTGCTTATGAATCGAATATAAAAGAAAAAGCAGCGAGTTTGAACTCACCCTTAGGCGGAGATGGCAAGGAGATTAGACAGTTGATCAAGGTTAATAAGATTTCTCTCTTTTTCTCATTGTTTCACGCGATAAAATAAACCGATTTATATCAGAGAGTTCAAATTACAGGAATTGGAAGAGCGGGATAATGAATTGAAACGGCAAGAAGAGACCAGAAAACAATTAATATTAAAATTGTGCAATGCTGAAAAGCAGATGAAAACTTCGGAGCAGAAATTGAAAAAGATAGAAGTCGAGTACGAGAAAGCCATTAGGGCGATACAAGGCTTCGTTGAACGCGAGAAACAAATGCAAGATATATATTCTCGTAAGGAACAGAGAACCCTGGAACTAGAGACAGAGTTGCGTAAAAGAAGAAACAGTCACGATCTCGTTTCGTTGAAGGATCTCGGCGTCAAGAATGAAAACGATTCCTGTGAACAGGTCAATATTGCGAATTATTTTTAATCTTGTTTGCCAATCTCTACGTTTCAAAAACGCATTTATTTAATAATCGATAGAAGTTTTATATTATTTATTAATATTGTTATCTCAAAATGTGCATGACATTGAAACGTAGAGATGCACTTTGCTTACTGAGAAACAATCGGATAGTTTAGTATATTTCGTATATATAGACGTGTCTATATTTCTTTCAGGATCATAAAACTTATATTTAATTTTTGCTTTCTATCTTTTTGCTTTACATTACTGCATGATTTTTATTGCTTTTAAAACTTTCTTTTAACACTATAACAAAATTTTATAAATATTTTATTTTAAATTATCTTTGTAGTTTACTTATAATTTTTAATTATTTTTTTACCAAATACACAATGTATCATGTCAATTGATAGGTAAATTTTAATAATGCATATTTTAATTATCGTTTATTGTCGTTTAGTGCAAAACTGCATTTAGAATGCACGCATAACAGATTATATATTCGCAATGTATAAATAGGAATTTGTACATTTATACAATTTTATAAAATTTTATAATTTTTACAAGTTTATTTGTATTAATTTTTTGTGTATGATTACTTTTCAATTAATTTTTTATTTTATTGTTTTTCTGACAATTTTGTTATAGATGCTTCAAAAATCTAATGATAGGCTGTTATTTATAATCTTTTTTTAACTTGCTTATTTTATGATCTTTTCTGTAATTTACTGATGTTTAATTAAAGCATAACAGACATTGAAATTTTTTATATCAAAACATAATAATTGCGTATTTATGCGAGTTTATTAGATATGTCGAGGATAAAATTTTCTAGATGTACAAACTTCTAAAAAATGTATTAAATGTTCAGAGATTTTTTTCTATATTATTATATAGTAATTTTAGAGAAAAAAATTGAGTTATCTGATTTATTATTTATTTAATACTTAATTTTATGTATTTTTATTTGATAACAGAAAACAAGAAACTTGAAATAATTATTAAATATCTCTCAAACAAAAATTGAATTACTATTTTTCTAATTTTTTTTATTTCTCATTATCCTTTTGCACGATATATTTTTCTTTCATAATTTTCATTAAGCTTTTCTCCTTTCGCTTTCATTTTGTATTATTTTTTCTGCATTTTGCGTATGGTGTGTTTGCTTGTGTCAATGTTATAAAGTTTTTTAGGGAGCCCAGTCAGAAAGATCTTCGAGAAGTCGTAAAGCGCCTCGGTATCTTGGGAATACCGTGTGCAGAAGACGCGGTCGTCGTCTATTAATAGAGATCGCCGCCTCTTCTCGCAGCTTCTTACGGTCTACGTGTCGCGATACGCGGACAGTCTTCATACGAAAACTCATCTCGACCGATCTCAGCCACCGCAACCGCGGTAGCGCCGAACGAACAATATTACACGAGTACATACACAGCCACACGTGCAACGACGTGATAGATCCGTCATCGATCTTCCGACTCTTTCGACGATATACCACGAGAACGATTTGTATAAGCTCCGGAAATAGCGTGCGATTGATAACCCTTGACTGACTTGCAGCGAGAGAAAATTGTCGCGTGTCTCGAATACTTAAATCAGAAAACGATCGAGAAATATATTTGTGAAAATAAAAAATTAAAATATTTTAAAATTTTTTATTAGAAATTTGGAAAAAAATTATATTAATTTTATATAAATTATATTAATTTTATTGTGGATTTGTAAACTGATTACGATCATAGGAAGCTGCAGCACAATTCAGAGTTCAAATCAGACGCGTAATCTTATAGAGAAGGGATATTCACCAGTGCTGATCGCGCTAGCACTGAAGTAGAGTATCTATTCGCGAATCGATCGTTGCTCGTATTGTTGCTCCGATTTTGGAAGTTGAAAAAGTTCAACACACAACTAAATATGTTCTCTTGTCTGTGCGCCTCGATGCGGATGGAGGTAGGTATAACGTCGTCGAGTGCTGTCCTTCTTGGTATTTAAGGGAGTATGGCTGACTGTGCTTAATTTTACTGGGCTCCCTCCTTACAGAGTTATTTCTTGCAGATCTAGATATTACAGATTAAAATTAAATTGTTCTTCTTTTTTGTGTTAAAAAATCGTTATTGAGAATTTATTGATAAATTAATTTAGAAATTAATTTAGAAATTAATTAGAGCAATACATTTTTAGGACAATAAATGCAATGGAATTAAATCATATTTTTATGTTATTCTTTTTTATATATTCTGTTTTAAGTTTTATAAAAATTTTTTTATTGAAGCAAAATTTATCTCTATAACTCGGTTAAGAATGATAAAATATGTATATTTTTATCCAAATCTATATGTAAATTTTAGAATGGCATACTTCTTTTGTAGCACAGAGCCAGAAGAGATTACAAAAAAAACGTGTTTTTCTTTTAGGGGCCAGCGATTGTCACAATTGTAGCACCGCGATGTTGGTCTAAGAAAACGAAAAGTTGATGAGTGTTATAACTATTTCCCTGTATAAAAATATGTACCTTGCATGTAAAATTTCTTTGCAATTGATTTTTTTATCACTTTTTCCCGCTTCTCACATATTATATATACATTGATTTTTTACTGTAATCTGTAATTTTTTACTGAAATTATATATTCGAATAAAGTATTTTCGGTGAACCTAATTCTTTGAGTTTTATTGACATAGGACGATACTTTATGCTTGCAGCGACGTTTCGAAGAAATGGAAAGCAAGATCAACGATCTGCGGGATCAAATCGAGACAATAAAAGCTGAGAAGAGCCTCTTGGAGAAACGGACACAAGTCGAATCTGAGGTACAATACAAATATAATTTATTTTTCATACTGTGATATATTGATAGTCACATGTAATATATTAATAATGAAACAAATAATATTTTGTATATAAATAAGTAAATAGTAATTAACAAAATAATGGAAGAGCTATCTTACATTTCAATTTTTTAAAATTGATTTTTAAAATTTAATTTTTAATTCTTTAATCATACTTTCTTGTATTATTTATATATTTTTCTTTTTTGTATATATAATTACTTATTATATAATTATTTACGATTTAATAAAATTATACAATAATTATTTATTGTATAAATAATTTGAGAAATATAGAAAGCAAAATATATTCTGTACAACATTTGCGATATTCTAAATAAAACAAAAATCACATTAATTTTAATATTAACTTGAAATGATATGTTATAAATTATATTTAGAAAGCATACTACTAAATTTATTATAAAAATATATGTTAATCTTATATAATAATATACACATTTAAAAATATGTAATTATTGCTATGATACTTTATATTTTTGCTGATTTAAAGTTTCTCTTTTATAAACAATTCTTAAAAAATAAAAAATTTAAAACGTATGATATATTTGAAATTCCAAATGAACTGTTCAGTTTTTCTCAATTTATCGTAACTATATTACTTATTGCGCATTTGCATTTAATTACAAACAAGACGTATATTATAAACGTGTTTGAAAAAAAAAAAATATATATATATATATATAGCTATATTATAATAATAATATAAAAACAATTTACTTTTTGGAAATCAAATTAATTCATATCTTTTTTTTTATCGTGCAGGAACTTCAAGAACGCCTTCATAATAAGGAGCAAAGAATCGCGATTTTGGAAACAGAGAAGCAGATGATTACGGAAGAGTTAAAGGACAAAGTCGCCGAGCTCGATAAGCTGAAGCACACCGAGACGAACAGCGTTGAGCATGAAGTTACTACCACTGATCATCACAATGATACTCCACGAAGGGACGAATTGCTCGAGCAACTGGATCAACGAAACACCGAGATCGAGGAGAAGAACCGAAAGATCGAGCAGCTGACGAAGGAGCTGCAGGTGACGACTCAGAATCTTCAGAAGCTGGTCAATACAGAACTCTGGAGCAAGAATAAGGAAATTGCCAAGCTGCATAATTACATGACGGCGTCATATGGCCACGAAAAGAGCCGTAATAAGTCCGACGTCGTCCAGGAAGCCGATAACTCGCAGCTGACAAATCTGATTCGCGAGCTGAACGACATTGGTATTAAAGTGAACTTCACGAACGAGACTGTCCAACTTAACTACATCAACGGGAATGAAACAGTGAATCTGAAGACGTTGGACGAATACGTTCAGAGATTGACGAGTCAGCGAAACGATCTGGAGAAGGAAGTGGACTATCTGAAGTGGCTGAAACTCGTAGCAAAGCCTGATATCGCCGCAGAAGTCGATGGTTGCGGCAACGAGACGGAACGGGCGAAAAAGTATTGCGAGTTGCTGCGCACGCATCTGAAGGATCTGGTGAAGTTCATGAAGGAGATGCTGAGGAGCGCGGATCACGCGGACACCATCGGTAACGAGCACAAGAAGCTTGTGCTGGACGTTTTACTCAGCTCCAAGATTCTATCAGATGATTTCGTGCGAGCTCTTGAAGGCATGACTGTGCAAGACAGCGTGATCGTAAATGATAGAATCGTCGACGGTTCTATGAGGAGGAGTCGGTCCGAAAACATCGCGGAGACGGGCGCAAAGAATCAGGCGTCGCAGTCGGACTCTGAGACGTTTTCGGAACCTGACCGAACCGTCTCCATGGCTAGAATCGGCCTGCAGGAAACACAGTACAAGAATCCGAGCCGTTCCAGATTTACGAAGTACACGAAAACCTGTAGTGATTCCGAAGATTCCGCAGACTATGTGCCTTACTACAAGACCTACCAGAACGATCTGAATGATTTGGACACGAGCTATCAAATACAAGAGCTGAAGGAGACGAATAATATGCTGTATTCTGAACTTAGCGCTTTAAGAAACGACCTGGTTACGAAAGTTTCTTTCGATTGTGTGAGTATATATTTGAATCGTTGGCTTTGTTTATTAACACAGTTTATTATATCAATTTTTAATTTAAATTTTTAATAAATTTTTAATAAAATTAAATTTTTATACAATTGAAAATTTTAATAGCATTAATATTTTTAAAATTGCTAACAATAAGTAATGTTTTTTGATCTTGTTACTCTTGTTCTAAAATTTATTATTTACTCAATTTCTAATATAGAACTGAATTCATTTACAGACAATTGATGAAAAGTTAACTCCGTTTATTACAAAATTGGAGAAGTCCCAAAGGTTCTGTGAAAAGTTACAAGCTTCCTTGGAAAAGAGAATACATGAGTTTCACATATTAAGAAAGGAGAACAAACAGAATAGCTTTCGGAAAACGCAAATGGAAAATGCCGAAAAGAAGACTACGGAAACCCTGTTAATCGTCAACAAGGAGAACGAATCGGTTGGTGAAGCGCTATTTTTTTACATTTGTCATAAAAAAACTTGAACACAAATTTAATCATCCGATTATTTTAGATGCGAGCAGCAATTAAACGGCTGGAAGAGGAAAACGAAACTGCCAAGACGACCATATCCAACCTGAGGAAAGAGCTGGATCATCTCGCCCTTTCGCACAGTCAGATACTCGTGGAGAATACTCAATTGACAAACGACAAGTTGAGACTTGAGCAAGAAATAAGGAAAATGGAGAATCGATATGACGTAGCTGTTCGCTCGCTGCACGATAAATTTAGCAAAGAGGTAAACGAGGTTGAATTAATTAGTGAAAATATTTTTCCTCCTTTTTCTGTATATATGTACGAGTGTACGTGCGCGCGCGAAAGAATTACTAATATGTAATATCATCGTCGTGCAGATATTTGATCTCAATCAGATCAACGAGTCGCATCGAGCAAGAGTGCAAGAGCTCGAAGCGGCGAATAAAGAGTTCAGGAGACACATGGCGGTGTGCGAGGCTAGCGATTCCGCACCGAGCTCGAGTGGTGTGTCGTCTATACCCACAGACACTACGCTCAAGCAAACCTGCGATATTCTACACGAATATCAACCTTATAACGTTAGTTGGTTCCCCGATATCTTAAATGTGCGAATCTAATTAATGTGTCTCGATCTTTAGCTTCATTTATGAAATTTAAAGATTGTATAAAAATAATAGTAGTACTTTTAAATTTGAAATATGGTCGCATGTAAAGACTTTTCAGTATTATTTATTTCGCACAATATTATTGATTTCGCACAGTATTGTTGACTGATAGTGATATGTTTTAATAATTGCATGGCGTTATTCTAATTAGACAATTAGGCATTTTATGTTGCATTGATTCTATGATTATATATAATACAAGAGAATTTTCTTATTTAATTTTTTCTCAGTTAGAACTTTTAGATTCGCTAACTAAGCTTTTGATTTATACTTTATGAGTGTACATTATATTGTATTATATATATAATATTCCATGTGATTAATATGATAATTTTTACATTATTGTATTAAATCTCATATAATTTCAATAGACAGATGTACGTAGATATGTGATTGAGAGTTGCACACGTATTGCTATATATTTTGCACTTGTTTGTTTAAAACTTTTTTATAATTGCGTATGATCGAAAGATTTAAGTTAATTTTTATAATTTATTACAGAACTTGCAGTATTGGCAATCGACAAATTATTATACGCTTGGAGGACGCAGTAAGTCCAGCTGTTCACCAGATTTAGGTATAGAAAGTGATGCCGCCGTTACCACGATAAGGCCTTTGAAAGACACATTAAAGATCACGGAATCTATGACTAACTTACTGAGTGACGAAGATAGCGAAAATAGTAATCACAGAGTTCGAGATACAAACAGTGAAAGTCCAATACCGATAGAAGGTGTGTTTTGAAATGTTTTATATTATATGTTACTATATATATATATATATATATATATATATATATATATATATATATATATATATATATATATATATTATATATTTATATTTATATATATTATATTATACATTAATAAAATTTATATATAAATAATCTAAAATTATACTTTTTTAAATTCACTTTAAAATGTGATATTTTAAATTGTTTTCACTTATAATTATTTTTTATAGGTCTTGACGAGGTGGAAACTTTAAAACAAGAGAATGAAGCATTAAAACGAAGACTGATGAAAACTAGAAGAGCGCTAGAAGACACATTTGAGCATCTATCAACTTCAAACAAGAATAAGAAGAACGTTGAAAAGGCGATAATAAAGCAGCTTATGATTACTAGAAATGTCTTAAAAAAAACGAGGACATTTGATGAACCTTTGGACAATTAATAGAGATTACAGACTGACAGCGAGAAATATTGCATTAAAAAAATAGAGCACGAAATTGTTACTCGTTGAATTGTGTTCTTATAGATTAGCTATTTATTCATATAAATGTATAGTATTTTATCTGCTTATCATTTATCTATTCTTGTATTTTCGAAATAAGAAAACGAACAATACATATCGGTACAAAAGATTATAAGATACTTCTAGACGTATTATAAAATTTCTAAACGAAAAGATTTCTAAGTAAGAATATTTTCATACAAGCGGAACATGCTATTTTCATTTTAAAAATTTATATAATATATATATATATATATATCAAACGAAAAAGAATTAAAAACGGATTGTGTATTGAGATTTGTACATATTTATATAGATATACTAAGAAAAAGAGACATTTTCGTAGATTTTTTTGTGAGAAAAGTTTAGGTACTGATAATAGCGCGAATCGCACCTTAAAATCAGTCTTCGTTTATTGACGTACTTTGCTTTATAAATAACATTTATATATGTGTGTATATTATATATAATTATTGCATGTGTGTATCATTATGTAGCATCTGTACATAATATCACTTAATAAAGTGTCATTATTATTTAGAATTTATGTGTCAATTACTTTTTATGCATACTCATGATTCTTATATATGATGTGAAATACTACGATCACCATATTTTTAAGAGAAAATAAAGGACAAACCTGAACATTTTTTTAGGCTTTTTTGTTTCAATATGTTTCTAAATTAAATGCGATTAGTGCCATATATTTTTAAAAAAGCATGTAAAGTCAATATTTGCATGTATCGAAATTTATTTAGTATATTTTACAGAGATTAGCAATTAACAAGTAGTAATGTGTCCTAATATACGCTCGAAAAATTATTTGAATTAATAATAAAATATATTTTGCCAAGAGATAAGTGGCGGTAGTGCCAGCAATGAATGTCTTTTTAGTCTGAAAAATCGTCTGAGCTAATAGGAAAATATATTAGGCGAAGAGGTCGTTCATTAGGAGAACATATTTGCGAAGAGGTCGCTATTAGGAGAATATATTTGCGAAGAGGTATGGTCGGTAAATGTTGGTAATTACGATGGTAACTTACCAACGGTGATTATTTACCGACCGTCGTTTAGCAATAGACCTCTTCGTAAATATATTCTCCTAATAGCGACCTCTTCGCCTAATATATTCTCCTATTAACTCAGACAATTTTTCGACCATATTAAAAGGCATTATTGCCGAACCGCTTGCACTACCTCCTTGCATAATATATTCTCCTATTAACTCAGACGATTTTTCGACCATATTAGAAGGCATTATTGCCAAACCGCTTGCACTACCTCCTTGCATAATATATTCTCCTATTAACTCAGACAATTTTTCGACCATATTAGAAGGCATTATTGCCGAACCGCTTGCACTACCTCCTTGCATAATATATTCTCCTATTAACTCAGACAATTTTTCGACCATATTAGAAGGCATTATTGCCGAACCGCTTGCACTACCTCCTTGCATAATATATTCTCCTATTAACTCAGATGATTTTTCGGATATTAAAAGACATCTAAGTTAATAGGAAAATATGTTATGCAAAGAGGTAGTGCAAGCGGTTCGGCAATAATGCCTTCTAATATGGTTGAAAAATTATCTGAGTTAATAGGAGAATATATTAGGCAAAGAGGTCGTTCATTAGAAGAATATATTTGCGAAGAGATACGGTCGGTAAAGATATTGGTAATTACGATGGTAACTTACCAACGGTGATTATTTACCGACCGTCGTTTTAGCAAGAGACTTCTTCGTAAATATATTCTCCTAATAGCGACCTCTTCGCAAATATGTTCTCCTAATGAACGACCTCTTCGCCTAATATATTTTCCTATTAGCTCAGACGATTTTTCGGACTAAAAAGACATTTATTGCTGGCACTACCGCCACTTATCTCTTGGCAAAATATATTCTATTATTAATTCAAATAATTTTTCGAGCGTATATTAAGACACATTACTACTTGTTAATTGCTAATCTCTGTAAAATATACTAAATAAATTTCGATATATGCAAATATTGACTTTACATGCTTTTTTAGCACAATATATGGCATAATATAATTAATTACATTAGATTTACGGTGACCCATCTTAAAAGACTACTACGTATCTCTTCGCAAAATATATTCCCCTAGTAACTTATTAGATGATTTTTCGGACATTAGAAGACTCATTACATATGTATTATATATATAAATATAAATATAATATATATATAATATATAAAATAATATTAATATTTATAAATATTTAAATTATAATATTCACATAAATATTTTATTATTATTATTATTTATAAATATTTATTTAATATACATAAATATTTATTTATAAATATATATTAATATTTATTAATATTTATTATATATATATATATAACACACATTTAGCATATCACGATATATACCTTGGTGTGGAAATAAAGTAACGCATGATATAAGATTATGATAGAATTTTTATTATCACTCCATGACTAGATAATAATATAAAGATCCGTAATAACTCATAGTGATGTGAAGTTTACGAACTGCGCCAGACATGCGAATTCCTTTTCGGCCGCAGAAGCGGAGAGAAATACGATTCTTATACTGTACAACATTAATTTCTCTTTTATGAGTCTAATATACCTTTCTTGCCGTTTCTTTCCCTTCGCGATATAATCGTACCCGCTGTTATGTGAAACGTACGTTTAAAGGATAGGTAAGAGGAGAGTATGGGATAAGGAGACAGAAAGGTAGGGTAGGGCTGGGAACAATATTTACGTATGTTATATACAATTCTACAGTGACATTCTCTCTCTTTCTGTCTCTTCTGCTGCTACTACTGTTCGTATTGTACGCAAAAACATCATTTAATAGCAATATGAAGCATTTACCATGTTTTTGTACAGAATTTAGAAAATTTATTATAAGCCTTTTGAACGCAATTTTATAACATGCAAATGTGAGCAATCTTTTTTTTCTTTTCAAGAATTAATTGTCACATGCAGTGATCCCTTTTTGATATTCTTTCAAAAAAAAAAACAGCACTATTATATAAGAAAATGTTTTTTGTGCATTTAATTAATTTCAATGATTTATATTAATATGATAAACAAAAAGCAATCAATCTAAACAAGCTTCATATTACTATCAAAAGCGTTATTTTTAGTATTTATCGTACATTCAAATGTGAATCGATTCACATATTCTTCTTTTCTGTTTTGATTATCAACATATCAATTTACGCGAATCGGAAACAGATTTCTCTCCCGATTTTTTCTCTCTCGCTTATAAATTACCATTTAATCGACGGCTTTATATGATCTCGTAGTAAATCAACGAGCGAGATGCAGGTTCGAAATTATTTATAATTTTGATCGTTGATTGTGTGCATAGATCGGCATGCAAAAGTAGCAACATAGAACGCATAAGAATCAGAAATCGTAAAATTTTTAAAGATTACATGTTTTATCTTCTTACAGTCACTTCGCAGATTTCACAGATACAATAATTTAATCCATCTGTCAATGCATAATTTTGTACCTTTTGTTTATAACAACTGCTGGACATTAAACATTGTTTCCATTATATTTCAGAGGATTTCCGAATACAAAAATCCTTTTATATTTTGTTTCGGGCGAAGATTGCTTTGGGTATCCGTTCATTGACAGAAGAATTAAAATGCAATCACTTGAATAGATCACATGAACAATGTATGAGCTTGAAAAAAATTTCGCATTTCAACGCAATATCGTTTATAAATTATTTACATAAATTATTATACGCTGTGTCTTTTGCGCGACAATTTTACGCAGCTTTAATTACAAGGAAAAGTTCCCCATTTAAATGGCTCGATTTCGAATATTGTTTCTGTTAAAAAAAGTCGAAAATTCAATAAAGCAAACTTTTCTTACACGAAACTTATGATATATATTACAATAGGTTCTCACACAAGTTGAAATAAAACGACTTTAAATTTTTCTAGGACCAATTAATTGAAATCGAACATTTTAAATTCGATCGACTTTTCTTATATGTCTGACAACAAATTTATTTACAATAAGGAATCTCAAGATTCTAGTGTCACATACAAGCAAGATCGTCAAATTTTACATCTCCGATGTCTGATTTTTAGAATTCAATTAAAATATAAAAATTTAATCAAAAAAAGATAATCAAAAATTTAATAAAATCAAAACGAATCATTTCATTCCGACGATGTATCTCAGAGAACAGTTTTTTTCTTCGATTTAACAAATCACTAAGATATAATAATCTTAAAAAATGTATACTATTTCTATCTTTTTTCTGAGCTCTTACGCATATAAATATTTTCAAACATCTTCGAGACAAAAAAACATCTGTACGTATTAAAACATTAATTGGATTATAAATATTTATACGATTATTCTTTGTTATTCTGTTTTCACAAAAGTGTAGCTGATAAAAATCAGATTCGAAGACAGTGTTTTATGATCATTCATTATCATCTTATGTTAACATTCGTCGTGATGCTGCGAATTCGTCCCGCTGGACCGATTATCGGAGAGAGAAAGAGAGAGAGAAATATTGCGAAACTATCGATGTTATTAAATCTCTTCCCTTCTATGCCACTTTGTTTTATTTGAAACTAAATGAGATCGATGAATTGATGATACCTGGAAATTATTTATCATTATTTATCGATTGATGAATCGGAAATCAGCGGCTATCACATCCGTTCGCCGAATCACGACGAATCGATCCGCGTGTTGAACAGTCCCGGAGGAGAGGGAGAAAGGGGGAAGGGCACGTTTAACACTACCTCCTACTTATTACTCGACAATTAAACTCCGTAATACCAAGAAACGAGGAACTTGTACATAAATATATTTAGATTAATCGTAGTATCGAATTGCGAATCATACGTGTGTCATAAGTGTAACGTTACACGGCGTCGACGATGACGAGAGAGATCGTATGAGGAGGGACGGTGTAAAATACCGGTGTAGAATAACTCGTGAACTCTCGAATTGCGCGAACATCATTAATAATCCGTCGTCGTTGATGAAGATGACATCATGTCATCTTCATCGAGAGTGATATCTCTTCTTGGCAACGTTAATGTTACAGTTTTCGAAAAATTTCAATCTTAACACAGCTCACTAATTCAAATTCATTTCTAACATATCAGTTGTGTGAATTAAAGTATAAAAGATCCAAAAGCCAAAAGATATATGTCTGTTCAAATATTGTTAAAATCTTTCATTGAAACAATTGTATATATATTAATTATAATATATTATTAATTATATATACTATAATTACATATATTAATTAGATAAACTGTTGTTAATTTTATAAATTGTCTTGCAATAAATTAAAAATATTTACAAATTTATTTCTAACATTAGTTGAATTAAAGTATGAAAGATCTAAAAGCGAAAATATATGTCTGTTATCATTTCAAATATTGTTAAAATTTTTCATTGAAATAATTATATATATAGATATATTAATTATAAAAGTTATAATTAATTATATGTACTATAAATATATATATATTAATTAGATAAACCGTTGTTTTATGAATTATTTTTTGCAATAAATTTAAAAAATTTATAAATATAAATATATGTACATGTATATATATTTATAACTACATAATTAATTTTTAAAACAATTTTTTTCAAGGATATAATTTCAAAATATATTATCTGTGCAGCATGTAATACAAAATATTTCAGAAAAATGTCAAATATGTGATGTTATAAAAAAATAATTTTATTCTTATATTTAATAAATAATGAAACCGAGCTTTCGCTTTTCTAGATCTTTCATGTACATATAAATCCTGCATTTAAAGACCCTAAAATAAATTCAGACATTTATCGAACGCGTTCAAATCTTGGATTTTGAAAATTTTCGAAAAATCTTTCGTTCGAGGTAAAGATGAACTTCTCTTCGACGACGACGACGACGACGACGACGACGACGTCGCTGATTTCAAACATACGTCCCGCGCCGACAGCACGTTATTCTATACGGTATTTGGCGACGCGCGCTTTTGGCGGGTTATGTGGCGTAATGGGGATGAGAATGATGATGCGCGTGCGGTGGTGGAGGCTCGCCGAGCCAGGAATCCGGCGATGGTGGGAAGTCGGGATAACCGCCGCCGCCACCGCTGCCACCGCCGCCGCCACCTCCGCCACCGCCTCCTCCGCCACCGCCACCGCCGCCGCCACCGCTCGACTCGTTACTCAGATCGGATGCTGGTCCTGGCACCATGCCGCCTGGTCCCCCTGGAATCATATGTTTTCTGTCAGTCCGCAAACTTGCGACATGAGCCGGAATAGTTTAAGATTGAGTCTCTCCCCGTGTGTCAATCTGAGTTATTATATTATCGACCAAGGGAGAGTCGAGGGCTGGGAGAATTCAGGAAGTTTGGACAGTTGAAAATATTGCAAACTTTTCGAAAAATGAGAAAAAACAATGACGACAAAATTTGAACGCATGAGAGCTGATGAAGAGTGAAAAAAATTGTGGTATGTCAGGACTTCTCTTTCTCTCTGAAATAAATTAATTAAGAAAATCGATAAAGTGCTTCACATTTATTTAATAAATGATATTTTTTTGTAACTTACCGAGAGTAGTGTACACCGAGAGACCAGCATCGGGCGGGTACGGAAACTGGGGCGGTAAGGACGGCGATCTGGACGTTGAGAGATACGGGGGTGTCGTTGCCCCCAGATATCCGCGAGGTGGTCCACCCCCGCCTCCGTTTCCACCACCGCCTGGACTCGCTCCCTCGCCGTCCAGGCCCATATTGACCACCGTTCCGTAGCTGTCATTGCTCAAGTCTGCAAACAGATCCCTTTTGTAAAATATCTCATCAAAAATTAAGGACAAAGAATATGTTTCATCCTCCTATCGATGAATAATTTTTCATCAATGTGTCAATCACATATTATGTTCTTATAGCAGTTGCTAGGCATATAAGATTCTCTTCTATTATAAATGGTAATAATTTCGTCAACCATATCTTATCAAGTGCTATAAACAATTGATATATAATTAAATTAATAATATTACAGATTAATACAAATTAGGTGCTTGAATATTAATATACCAACTCTTCTATTATGTTTGAGACCCTTTTTATTTTATTTCGAGCGAAAAAGTTTGCTTTGGATAGTCGTTCACTAACGGGATTAATCGTTTCATAAAAAAAATTGTTGAGAAATAATAGAAATAGATAAAATATAACGATATATGAATTAGAACGTTGGCTAAAGACTGACTAAAATGGATGTTTTGATGGGCTATCTATTCGTAATGAGAAAATTGTCTTTTAATGCCATAACTTTTCGAAGCGGAAAGTCGAGTTGCCGGCATCCATTGTCTGGGATTCCCAGTACCCAGATGCCTGTTATCCGAGGGGAAGACGATCTTGTCAAATATTCAGGAGATCGCAGAGGCTAACTGCCGGCTCACCGTGTCCGAGATTTCAGGAAGATTGCGGGCCATTGAATTTATGCCCGCTATTACCTGTACTTATTCGGGAACGAATACCGCGCACATAATACATTGTTTTGAAAGCGGCTGATGCGATTATTAAAAATAACTTTGATGAATAATTATTTCATGAGTTTCGTTATAATGATATAGCTATCAAACTGTATCCGCATAATGCAATCATTTTATATAAGAAAAGAATAAATTAATTTACATTTAATTTTTAAAAATCTGTTTATAAAATTAAAATTAAATGGACATGTTTTTCATTTGTAACAAAAAATTTTTGTCACGATTATTCGATTATTAATAATATTTACAATTGAGAAGAATTGCGACACACCAGTGCATAATCGTAATATATAAGTCTCTTTTCCTATTCTTATCTTATATTATTACTTCAGAGAGGATAATAAAATAATAGTGCAACTCACCGTGATGACCAAAGGTGGAGTCCAAGTCTACCTTCAACTCGTCCTTATCAAGGAGCTTATCATGTCTAGGCGAATGACCGCCACCACTGCCCTTCATACTACGGAAGTACTGAGACCATCTTGTTCTGCCAGCATCCTTTTTTAGCCTCTTTTCCTTTGCCCTTCTATAAAGATGAACGATGATAAATAATTCATAATAATCTTTAATATTTTTAATAACTTCGTCGCTAATCGCTTTAAAAAATTTCTTTACAAACAAAATTAATTTATACTTTAAATTTTGCTTAATTAATTTTTACACTATTTCAAAATCTCGTTGATATTCTTAGAAATTATATTTTTAGTAATATTTTGTAAATTGTTGGTATATAGGACGATAGATGCTGCGCTGCTGAAAATAAGGAAAATTCATATGTAACTATATCAGAAAAAAATTTCTAATAAAAGAATGTTTTCCTTTAATATCACGCGTACAATAGATGATAACGATAGAATCAGGAGAAAAAAATAAATTCTGCGACGATAAACGGCTTTTACTCATTGTACTATGTGTACCTAAGTATATTTATAATAAGTACTTTTATCTATCTCTCGAGTATAAATTCTATTCGCCACTATCGCTCCGTTAAAAATGTCCTGAAAAAAAAAAATGTATCTTATCTGTCTTAAAGCAGCAAGCGGACGTTAATCTTTCGCGTTACGTCAAGTAGGTATATTGACTCGAATTCGCTAGAAAATTGCATTACACGTGTGCATTTTATAAATTTACCTGGTATACAAATATTTGTTAGCAACATTGATATAAAGGTTTTATTTATTCATCCTTGATGTTACATTTTCACGGCCGCTTTCTAACACTATTCCTCTCTGATAAGAAACGGAGGTCAGCGTCTACGACTCTCCTTTTACAGATAAAAATTTTTTTTCGCAACTTTGTTGCGTTACTTTGTCTAGAATATCACGTAATGCCACTTAAGCGATAAGAGGAAAAATGTGTATCCACGGTTAGAAAGTAACAGAGCTTGCGAATATCATAATGATCGTGGAATATAAGATTAGCGATATTCGTAATACACAATTTTTATATCCCTACAATCTTTTTCCTTTTTCCTTTGTATCTTCTTTTTATTCCAGATTTATAATCTTGAAAATTAAAAGCGACATTTCTATTTCAGTTAATGTCAATTCATTATAAAATATAAAGAATTTAATGAACTATTTAAAATTTTTTGTATTAAAAAATATATGAATTCGAATATCTTTCGATTGCTTTGGTGAACGGCTTCGGAAACCGTATATTAAGCCATGTTAATGCAGAATCCTAGTGATGAAGCAGAGTGCTTTTTAATTTAATAATTTCGTCAGAATTAATTTTTTCCTCGTGAAATACGTCTCTTTTTTTATTTCTATTTCTTGCAATTTTTCTTATATACGTATTGTATTGAATACATGTTTAAGTGTTCCAGAAAAAGCACCAATTTTTCTTACCTGTTCTGAAACCAGACTTGAACGACACGCATATCGAGGCCTGTATCCTGAGACAGCTGTTCTCGCACGTGCCTCGCTGGTTTTGGACTAGTGTTGTACGCCAGCTTGAGAGTCTCGAGCTGTTTTGCCGTGATCGTTGTTCGTGGCCTTTTATTAGGTTGATCACCGTCTATGCTTCCCCCATCTGCCAGTTCTGGCATTCAAATGAATTATGTATTTTTAATTAATCAATCAACAATTTATTAATAGCTACATATATCAAAAATAGTCAAATGTCTCTATATATTATTTATATTCGCATCATATTTTCTCTTATCCCTTTTATTATGATAAAAAATCACGATACTGCCCCGAATAGAATTTTGACATCGTATACGATATCAAATCATTTTTATATCCCATTTCAAATAACTAATGTCCATCGCTATTTCATACTTATGGTAAGATCACTTCTAAACTGACATTTGTACTTAAGATTAAATCGGTAATAAAAAAAATTGGGCTGTCGAAATAAAATAACATACCGTGTAAAAAGGATTAAATTTTTTGCTTAAAGAAAGGGATTACATCTCACCTTTCGCCTTGGCCTGCTCGTAATCGGGTTTGCAGACGAGTTTCCTATCTTCCATGAGATAAAACTCGTCACCGGTGTCCAGTTGCCGGGAGCAAAGGGCGCACGAGAAACACGTCAGGTGGTAGACCAATTCCTGGGCCCTTCGTACCACCTGCGAAGGCGCCAAGCCTTGGCCGCAGCCCGCGCATTTCGTCCCGAAACGCCTGCCACACCAACAACATACAATATTTTCACATTACATTCACACATTAATGACAAAACTATACGGCTGGCGCAGCTCTCTATCGCGCGATTCCTCAAATCGCGTTAATCTGATAATAATCGGATGCGCATAGCGATATTATATTCACATAATTATATATCCCTGATTAGTGTAATCTATGATGATCTACGAGCGTGTATTTTAGTGTATTATTCTATAATATTTCAATGCACTTATGTGTGAATAATCTTGCACTAATAACGTTGAAAACGATCGACAAAGATATGAATAGAATAAAAGAAAAGCGTTTAATCTTGAGAAAAAAATTGTGACATCTCTTTTACGAATGAGAAATAGCACCTTTACAACGAATATTGATATATTCGATATATGTATCTCAAAAAACATCATTTCTCTTTTGTGCTTTGTTACATATACTTCACTATTATCGATAAGAGGATAAGTCGAACAAATAGTATCGAATAAAAGAGTCGAGAAAATTTTGTATTTCTTTTTTTGATAATTTTATATCGAGGTTAGTATCATTTCCTTGACATAGTCAATAATCGCGATTAAAAAATAAATTAATGACACTTGTCATGATAAACATTTTAAAATGTGTAAAGACAGAATTTCTGTAAATACGCGCTAAATATATTAGAAATTTTTGACGCATTTTTAAAATTAATTAAAATAATTGTTTTTAAAAAGATAATTATTTATTTTGCAAAATTAATTGCGAAATAATTAAATACTGCAAAACGTAATGCAATATCGATATTACTGAAATATGAACAGATAACTTAACGAAATTTTAATCCACAGGATACATGCACAGTATTTGTTCGTAAATTATGCAGATAAATTTAATGATAGCAATTATTGGTGCTTACTTGAAGAAGTCATCTTTGCAGAACACGTGGCCGTTTCTCGCGAAACATTTGTCGGTCAACCTGGCACCGCAATCCCGACACGTGAGACATCTTGCATGCCAACATCTCTCGAGAACCCTCAAAACGTATTTGTCCAAAATAACTTCCTGGCATCCACCGCATTTTGGTATCGTGGCTATAACATATAAATCCAAACGATGAATAAACAGTCTTTTTAATACAAAGTATTAAAAAGATAATACAAGATAGCACAATCTTTGGCAGCATGATGTAAAATGTACAATAAAAGAAGGGCCTATGTAAAAATGATACTAACATAACAATAAATTATATAATGTATATAGAATGTCTATCTGTTAATTGCAGATTCCTGAAATAATTTGTAGACGATTTTTCTCAGTGAAAATGTCAAGGCAAGAAAATACATCAATTGTCAAATTAAGCGATTCAAAAAGAAAAATTTTTTACTACTAACTTTGTGAAACTAACATTTTCGCTCCAAATAATCTCAGAAATCTGTCATTAATAAGTGATACCTACAGTGACCCTAGAACATTGGTAAAACTTTTAATTTTTTTAAATATGTAATTTATTACAATTTAAAATAATATATATTTTATCACGCATATAAAACATACATTATATATTGAAAATAGTCAATCTAAATCACGGTGCATTATATAATATTTATCAAAATAATATATGATATCTAAAATAATGTCAGAATTAAAAAGTAATAATTAAATCAATGTTGTCATAACATTACTATTCTTCTAAATAAAATTGATAATTTGCGAATCGTATCGAATCTTTCTGCAGAATTTTAGCATAAAAAATTATTAAGTCTATAAAACTAATTATTAAATATATTCTGTTAATGTGTTTAGAGTTTCAGAGTTTAATTCCTCATTAATTCCGAGCTTAAGGATTGCACTGATACCCTATTGCTTATACTTTTGAATATATATTCAAAATATGTAGATCCGAGGATCTGCGGTATAAAATATGTATGTACCTCAAGTATTTTTAAATATCCATTAATTTATTTAAAACGGGAAGAGAGAAAGGATCATAAAATCAGGCAATGTCACACGACTGTCAAATTTGACAGACACTCAATATTTTTGGGAAACCCGTTCAGGTTTCAGGTAGCAGACATAACACAACTGAGATACTTTTGCACCAGAATATATTATTTTATAACTAGCACTAATACATATAATACCGCGAAACTAAAATATCGAATGGCCATTTTTTTCGCGTATCTTCGGAAGTTGAACTCGGAAAAGCGAAGCAATTCAAGGAAGAACGTTCGAAGGGTGTTGACAAGGGCGCTTGTCGAACAGACTTACGATGAAGGATCGCCGGGATATGATGCATGGGCAGATGATCGAGCTCGATGGCAGGCTGATCTAAGGGATACATGCCGCCGCGGGTTATCGTGGAAGCGACGCTATCGAGACGATCCGCTCCGTTACGTTGCTCCTGACGAACGTTGCGTGACTCCGGGCTGCTCTGCGGCGTTAGAACGTCGTGCCGCTGCGATCGGTACATCCCTTCCAGAGGAAGAGCCTCGCACCCCAACAACTCCAGTCTTATCTTGGTCATAACTGCTGCCCCGCTTGTTCCACCTGCAGTCTTGCGCTCTCATATATATTATCTACCTCATCGTACGCTAGTCTACAAGACTGATATCGTGTGCTTTCTCGCAATATCGTGATTCCTTTAACGAGACGCTCGGTATCTCCTTCCTGTCTCTGTCAAATGCAAAGGCACTGCGTGGAACGAAACGGTACGGAAAAGAAACTTGAAGTCTCTCAATCATCCAAACAATCTCCGGAGGAACTTTTCTCGTGTGCACAGAATAAGCGAAGACACATTTCATTAGGACTTTTGGTGTAGCCTTCGAAAACTATTGCAAACTCCGCAGACACTTGGACATCTATTTGCGCGAAACTCGCTGGAGCAAGAGCTCCTCATCATCTCTTGGATAAAGTAATTCTGGATAAAGTCAGACATGCGAGATTTCAATGAACCGGGGACAAACGAGTCGACTTTATCTTATCGCATCAAGTGTACAGGTTCCTTATGGGAGAGTGAAAAACACGGAGATATCCGACACACGCGATATGACGAGCACGGTGCAAGGGTACGCGCACGACTGCCTCGCTGGCGATGATGTTGCTCGTGCGCACGTGATATTCATGGGTGTGGCAGCCGAACGGTGGGGCGAGTGCCTGGATTATTGGGTGCAAAGGCACCGACCGGATGCTGGCGTGGGTGCCGATTGGAGAGACACTCGACCGCCTCTAATATGGCGCACGCCAGCCGAACTTGTGCGCCGAAGTCACCCCCGAAGGGATGATGAGCCGAGGGAAGATCTTGTGGAGGGAAGAGACAGAGAGGGAGAGAGACCGACGAAGACAATATTTAATCCTTTCGGACACGAGGCCCCGAAGATGCTGTATAAGATGTTGGACGCGAGCTGATTTTTTTTGTGCATGTAAGGTTTTCTATTCGAACGTTGTTGAAAGTTAAATTTTATTTTTCTTTCCAAGGGGATGATTTCTGATTGCCAGGAGGCTATCAGAAGGTCGATATGCTCGCTTTACTGTTTCAATTATTTATTTTCATTAAAGCAATAGGAATATTAACGGTGTTAAAAATGTGTTAGATCATTTCGTTGTTTGCTGTTAGATTCTTCATAAAATAAATTTTTAATAAAATCTAATTAGATTTCGCCGTTTAAATTAAAAATTCCTGAAAGTATTGAGTCGATTCATAAATACGTACGTAATAAATTGACTTTTTATATAAAATTATGTATCGGTTTTAATCTGTTCTACATTCTCCATTATTAAGTATAATTTGTTCCCGTGTAGACGGTGATTTGTTAATTTCTTTCTCTGATGCAAAAGAGTTTTTCACAAAACCGATCTCGGGCATTATATGAAAATTATTTCCATTTAATAAATTAGGGAATTACCTGAACAATTATAGAAATCTGAAGGTCTGGAGAAAATAAGGAAGACTTATACTGAAAAAAAGTCAGAGAAGGCCTCGTTGTTTGTGTCGGATATTGAAAATCCCTGGAAACATGTAGTGTCGTTTAATAACTCGTCGCAGATTTTAGCGATGCATCGCGGTGGGGCTGTATTCATTGAAATCGTCGCCCAAAAGAATTCACGAATCATCCCTCGAGAGTTTCTTTGAGCTTGCTGGTTCTCTTCGATTCGGGAGGCAACCAGGAGCCGGCAGTAAGGATAGCGGCTGGCTGAGTAAGACTCGGAGTAAAAAGGAAGAGGATGCAAAGAGGGAGGAAAAAAGAGGCGCAGAAGGGAGGGAAAGAGGGTGACAGGACACAAAAGGAATCCAGCGAAATTAAGAACGATCACGGGGATGAGGGACGCCATTTTATAATCTTGAGATCATTCGCGTATATCTCTCTCACCCTCCGCTCTTCATTTTATTTTCTTCCTTTTTTTACTTTCCTCTTTAACGATTGCTCGTGCATTTTCGATTGCACGCGCATATAAACGCATATAGAAATCGTGAAAACGACAGCTGTAAATACAGAATCGAATTGATTAATCTTCGAATAATTCCTTAATTAATAGTTCGACGAAACACTCACGTTGAAGAAAAAGCAAGAGAATTATGATGAAATATTAATTAATGAACTTATTAATTAGAATATTTTAAATTAAAACAGTTAAAATTAATTTAAATATTTTATGTTATAAATTGTATAGAAATAGATAGAGTAGATGCATATATAATATTTTATTGACTCATTTTTAGATATTTCTTATTCATACATATATGTATGTAGGTACAGGAATAATTTTGTATAAAATATTGAAGATATTAATTTTGTTTCTCATATTTTAATTTAGCATGTCTATATACTTTACTGCAAATATTGTAACTTAGTATGTATTATCATCTTTCTCTATTTAAAATGCATTATTAATCCCCCAAATTTATATTCATTTAACAGCACTATATTCAAATTCATTTATCGCTATATTATTGTATTTATCTATTTATTTCTTAACGATTCCATTCACGTTTTAGCGCGATAGAATTTTTTCCAAAAAATATTTGGGACGCGACGATTTAATCGATCACTTTCATGGGTTTTGCCATGAAGCAGATACATATGTATAAACGTACCACGCGTTTTACGCATTCAGATATATACGTCGACGGAAGTCGCATAAAGACTATGATCGATGTGCGCGATATTTTTCTAACGCATCGCGACGATCGTTAAATTTTCCACCTGACCACGAAATGACAGATGGCACGGTACTCTCTATGTGCGCACAGATACCCATAAAATCTGTCATGCATACGTGTATTGCCAAAAGGGTGGATCGCCGAAAGTAAGCCACGCGATAAATGAATGTCAGAATTGCCTGACATTCAAGTTAATGTCAAGTGTAACACCCTACTAAATACGCTAAATATGATATTTGAATGGTGTATGTAAAATATATTTTAAATTAGTTGCGTGTAATTTTTAATAGAAGATTCAAATTGTAGTATATAGGATGTATCTAGGATAGATGTCCAAAAATGCATCGTTTTCACATCAGTCTTGTATAGAAATTTAAGATACTTAGAAAGTTTATTTTATTTTCGACAATACAGAACAATAGAAAATAATTCTCACAAAATAATTTATTCTCGAACAAAATGGGCAAATTGTTTTCCAAAAATTGTCTCTAAGCAATACTTGTCAAATATCCTGGCAAGAAAAAGGGTCAATTAAAAAATCATTTTTGGACATATATATATATATGATTTCAATGAATAAAATATGCTCCTAAAGTATATAATTATGTTCACAAAAGATAGAAACTACATATTATAAATTTATGTAATTTCAATCATGTCTTATAAAATTAAAGAGATTTCTCTCTCCGTCTCTTGCTCAGAAATGAAATTTTCCGAAAGTCTACGTAAAAAATAAAATAGACTTATCTAGAAAAGTTCCGTACGAGAAAGAGATATATTACCAAGTATCTTGTCATCTAAAGAAAGACTTGACTGAGAAAACTAATCTTATCGCCGACGATATCGCCGGCCGTCGATTTTCCTGCGGACGCAATTACTGTTCCCTCTCACGAATCGAACTCTTGATTTCGACGACGACCCTCTTGGCGAAATCGGCGACGATGTCGGGAGGGCGTCTTTGCGATTGCGCGACCTCGTGACTTCCGTGGGCGTCTTTCTACTCGAGCTTCGATCACCACCCTTTGTCAGTTTCCGTCGCACACACGTCGACACGCCTCCGGGAGTCGTCTGTCATCGTAAAAAGCGTCGCCGCGGGGTGGCTGCAGGCGTGTAGCGTATATAAGGGTGGAGGGTGCGTTCGCGTTTCGCGCATCTACACTTATTGTTAGTTCGCGCGACGTTTATCGATGTAAAGTTTCTGGTATCGCGCCCTCGGAGGAAAACAAAAATTTATCCCAAGCACCGGAGTAGCCACGCGAGAAGGAAAAGATTTTTTCTCGAATTCTCGGTATAACAGATGCACATTTAAAATATAAATATATAAAATATATATTTAAAATGTATAAAAAAATATATTAAAATATATTCCTCGAGATATGGAAAATAGATATAGGGAATACCAGGTGGAATCAATTGTTACAGGTCTAGACGCATAATTAGTGAACGAAGAGCTGACCGCTATGAAATATAAAGACCCATATATACAAGGCACGTTTTTTAATTTAACTTGCTCCAAGCCGGATGAGGAGAGATTGGTGGGATGAGATGGGAGAAGACCCGCGAAGGTAGTCCAACTCGGGGGAATACGACTGCATATAATCGAATTTGCACCGGAGAGATCTCTTTCTCTATGGGCGTTTCCATTACGTTGGCGGGCGATAAATTACGCCACCCTTTGCCGCGTAAATAGATTTGAATTTATGCCGCCCGTTCTGCCCCATTTACGCATATGGTTTTTTATTTCTCTTATCCAACCAGAGAAACGGCGAGTCCTTTTGTCGAGACCGTCGGTTAACTCGCGTTAACCATATAGCAATGCCATTAATATTTCTCATACATTTTTGTTTATTAATATCCTGTCTATGTTCTTATTATAACACGAAAACCAAAGAGAAGCGAAATAAATATTAAAATATAGAGAAAACAATTTTAATTTGAAAAAATTAATTTTAAAAATTAAAGTTATTTGAATAATATAATACGAATAAAATATTAAATAGAGAACTGTGTCTTTTATTAATTTTTTTCCCTTACGTATACCACATCGATAATTGAGAAAAGTGAGAAGAAATTAATATAGAGTATTAAAAAAAATTGTCTTTCAACGTTAGACAAAATACAAAAGTAAAACATAGAAATGTTTAAGGGCGAAAAGAAAAATCTTTTTTCATATTATTACAAAAGTTTACAGCACGTTATAAAAAAATATAGCTATTCTACTTTTAGAAATTGTTGTACATATTTGCGCAAGGATACAAAAATGTTGCAAAGATTATAAAAAGAGAAAGAATCCCACTTTTCAGGAAACTTCAATTATTCGTGTCTTTCGCAGAGAAGAGGAGCGCCGAGAAAGGAAAAAAAAATAAAATAACGAAAACTTTTTACTTTATATATATACTCCTTTACGACCTGATATCCTCGCGAGCGCACATTTCAACTATATCCCGCTCGAAATCTGGAAATGGGGTTCAACTCTGAAATGCCAAAGTTCTGCCTCCTCCGGACCCAAGTGCGGCCAATATATGTATACGCGAGTCGGATGTGCACCAGATGTGCCATTGTGCTGGTCGAGGAAGAGTGAGTGGGTATAGGTGTACGTGTTTCAGGGTGCGCATATCCACACCGATAAAGGAGAGCGAGAGCAGGATGAAAGAGACTCTCGTCGCGTGGGTGCATCATGGACCTGGTGGGACAACTGATGGATGCCTTTCTAGGCTTTCTGCTACCTAAAATATCGGCTTCGAAAGCGGCCAGAACCCTCGCAAAACCCCGTGGTCCCATTGTCATTCTCGAACGAGAGATGATCTCTGTCTCTCTTTCGAGCTCCGACGATTAAATAGGCTTAAGTGACATACGGATGCGCATTCGTCCGTTGCACTTGTCGAGAGAGACCTTTCCGTCTCGCTCCACATCGGATTTACCTAACAGG